GCACTTGTGGTCTCTTCCAACTCTATGATTCTATGATTTTAGGTAGCCTCTGGCCTGCAAGCCACCCTAGGCCAACCAGGCTGGCAAGATCCGTCCATTTATGGCCGGCTGCAGCCACCTGTTGTTCACCTGGCATCAGGTGCAGGGCACATAAAGCTAAGTAGCACCTGGGAGCACACAAACGCATTCCGAATTACAGTCATACCTTGGGTCAAATATGCTTCAGGTTGAGCGTTTTCAGGTTACGCTCCTCGGCGACCTGGAAGTAACGGAATGCGTTACGTCCGGGTTTCGCCGCTCGCGCATGTGCAGACACTCAAAATGACGTCACACGCATGCGTGGAAGTGGCGAATTGCGACCCGTGCATGCACAGATGTGCATTGCGTTCGCTTCAGGATGCGAATGGGGCTCCAGAACGGATCCCGTTCGCATCCAGAGGTACCACTGTATTGCTTTTGTTATGTACTGAGTTGAATAGGATCCAAATTGCAGCAGTCTGATTGGTCCTAGAACAATAGGATCCAGAAGGCAGCAGTCTGATTGATCCGCAGGAGCCACCCAATCCAACTCCAGGTGGAAGTGAATCCGCAACCTGATTGGCCTACAGGAGAATCCCGGAACTAGCCAATCACGTGGGGCCCATTGTGTAAATAATGTATATAAAGCAGACATTTCGGGGGAACTTCCATTCCTCACTACTATGAGCTGAATAAAGAGCATGAAATCCACACTCGACTCTGAGTATATTTCAGCTTTGCAGTGGGGCTGGTGCTTGGCTCTGTTTAAATTTAGTGCCAAATGCACGCTCCACCTAGATTGGCTCCACTAGGGCAGGCTTCCTCAAACTCGGCCCTCCAGATGTTTTTGAGACTACATTTCCCATCATCCCTGACCACTGGTCCTGCTAGCTAGGGATCATGGGAGTTGTAGGCCAAAAAAATATCTGGAGGGCCGAGTTTGAGGCAGCCTGCACTAGGGTGACAGGAGGATGTGGTTTTCAGTGGGAACCGTTGCTTGTTGAGGGGCGGAGAAGGTAAACTACTTCTTCCCCTCTCACTGAACTCCCTACCATGAATACCTTGGCAGCATTTGGGGGAAGAGAGAAAGGAAAATGCCCACCACTGACATTGGTCTCTGGAAGGCTGCACAGAACAGGATGCGGCCTTCAAGCCGAAGGTTCCTTCCTCTTTTACAGGGCTTGTCCCAAAGCTGTGTGACTTTACCATATCCATCATCCTGTGAGAAGATCATTTGGATAATACTTCCCTTATTACGACATCTGAATCCCATTAAGATAAGAGCAGACTGGAGCAAATGGTCAACTCTTGTCTTCAAGAAAACCAGCTGCATGACATAGTGCATCACCATGACAATAGAAAAAGTATAATGAGAACGATTGGAAGCTGGGTTTTTTGCAGAAAACTTTATTGGATAAGACATGATGTTGTATAAATATCTGGTTCTTTCTTTATTGTTATTTTTCCTTTGTTTCGATATCTTTAAACCCTTTTTTGCCTTTTTGATGTGATGAATTCTTTTTTCTCTCTCTTTTTCTTTCTTTGTACCTAATTTTATTATACTTACCTTTGTTGTATGACTGTATTTTAAAACAATAAAGACTTATTTTAAAAAATAAAAAGGCATTAGGGGAATTTCTTTCCGCCCCATGGAAGTTACGCCTTGGTTCCACCTTGTCCATCATTCTCTTTAACATCCCTGTGAAGCTACAGAGAGGTGTCATCTGGGGATCTGGAGCACAGGGTCACCAATATGCAAATGTTATGTAGCTCTACCATACGAATCAGGCAAGGCTGTGCAGGCACTGGGCCAGTGACTCAAGGCAGTAACAGGTTGGGTGAGGGCCAATAAACCAAGTCTGCATCCCAACAAGGTGCTATTGTTAGTGGATGCTTGTCCTGTCTGGAGAGAAGCACAGAGAACCAAGGAGAGCAACTGATCCGTGAGCTGTTTGCCTCAGGATCCTCTGCAACATTGCAAGGGATCATGAGGTTCAGCCACTTTGCTAAGATTTGCTGCCTCTCCAGAGCCTCTCAGAGAGGAGGCTGAAAGATAGATAGGGAGTCCTACTGGGTTTGTGGCAGCTGAATGGTGCAGGAGAAAGCTCAGGAATGGACTCTGAAACCTATAGACCCTAAAAGAATCATTATGGCACTGTAGCTCAGTTAGACAGCAAGGCAGAGCCAGTTTTTGCTTCCAATTTGCCCCCCATTTTGCCTCCCTGAGGAGAAAGTGAGAGCTGCCTATGGAGTTAATGGGAAAACCCATGATTTAGCACAGCTTTAGGTGGAGGACATCAGCCCGATTCTCTTTCCACCCCACCCCACGATATCCCATTCCCTGCCCTCAAGTCTTGGGGCACAAGAGATTCTTTTAAACATCAGGCACAGACTTCACATGGACCTTGTAGATGGGGAGCAACCCAACACAGGGTGCACCAATACCTCCCTACTGGGTGAATTCAAAGACCAACATTTTGAGAGACCAACACCCTTCAGGAACTGATGGCAAGAAGCCCCTCAGGCCTTGAGATTCCAGAGAGAAAGGGAGAGGAATGTAGGATACTGCCTTCCATCTTGGTAGCTCTCCAGGGTTTCAAGCAGAGGACATCGCCACCCTTACCCAGAGTTGTCAAGGACTGAACCCGGGACGGTAACAGAGATTGTGGTGCCACTGAACTGCAAAGCTCCTTCTCCGTAAGAAAGAGAAGCAAGCTCCCCCCTGCCCACGTGTGGCCAGGCTGTACTCTGCAGGACTTGAAAATTTACTGCAGGAATGAGGAGAGGATAAGAACCCAGGGAGGTTGTTAGGATAAAAGGTGAGGGCATCACACAAGCTGTGTTGCAGTGAGACACAGTGGATTAAAGGCACAACCTCCAGACTTCCCTCCCTCTCTTCCTTTAGACTGGGGCAGTGATGGGGAACCTGTGGCCATCTGGACGTTGATGGACCACAGCTCCCATCATCCTTGACCGCTGACCATGCTTGCTAGAGCTGATGGGAGCCAGAGTCCAACAGCATCAGGAACATAGCTCAGGAACCGTCCCTTATTTGGCGGGAAAGTCCCTTATCCCAGCGCCGTGTCCCGCTGCTGTCCCTTATTGATGATGTCCCTTAAATATCCTGGATTTCAAAAGAAGCAGCTCCTCTCCCTCCCTCCCTGCCGGCCAGGGAGGAGGGAGGCTCCAACTGTATTGCTTGCCTGCGTTGCTCACCCAATAAGTAGTCAAAGAACGACTGGGGGGTGGAGCTTGCACGCCTTGTGCCAATCCAATCGGCCGCGTTGCCTGGGGACTCGCCTTTGCTCAGCGCTTCCCAGCGGAGAGGTGACGGTGGTTTTCCTTGCTGCATCCCCTTTGCTGGGTTGCTACGCTGTGGGAACCACCGCTTGAGGCTTCGTTTGGCTGCTGGCTGGGCTTTCTGCCTTTGGCTCGGAGGGGCTCAAAAGTTGAACATACCCGTGTTCGGAAAATCCCTTATTTTGGCTGCTGATCTCTTATTTTTGAGGCTGCTGGTCCCTTATTTTCAAATCTGTAAGTTGACAGCTATGATCAGGAAGGCACCAGTTCCGCATCCCCAAAGTAAGATAAACCCTGCTGCAGGCCTGCTTTGCCAAGGACCACCTCTGTGTTTGTTACATCTGTAACCCTCCTTTTGCCCAGAGAGGTCAAGATGATGTACATAAGTTCTCCTCCCCATTAGAGCTGGGCAATATCAGCTTTTCAACATCGTGATATATCACCAGCTGAACATCGCGGTTTGGCGATATACTGCAATGTTGAGAAAACAAGCTGCTTGGCCTCAGCCTGCGACACACCGGATGAAATTGCTGCAGCTCTCACTAAGGGAACGGAGGGGGTTTCACCCCAGCAACTAGTGGGCTGGGACAAAGCAACCTGTTTGTATGGCTCAGCTGGGGCACGGGAGGGCTCCCCATCCCCAGGAGAGCCATCCCCCACTCATAGTTGAATGGCAGGGCAAGGGGAGCATCAGGGTTCCTTTGCCAAGCAGAGGGCCTTCTCGGTAGTGGCGCCCACCCTGTGGAACGCCCTCCCATCAGATGTCAAGGAAATAAACAACTATCTGACTTTTAGGAGACATCTGAAGGCAGCCCTGTATCAGGAAGTTTTCAATGTTTGATTTTTTTTATTGTGTTTTTAATATTCTGTTGGGAGCCGCCCAGTGTGGCTGGGAAAACCCAGCCAGATGGGCAGGGTATGTATGTATCGTTGTTGTTTAGTCGTTTAGTTGTGTCCGACTCTTCGTGACCCCATGGATCAGAGAACGCCAAGCACTCCTGTCTTCCACGGCCTCCCACAGTTTGGTCAAACTCATGCTGGTAGCTTCGAGAACACTGTCCAACCATCTCATCCTCTTTCGTCCCCTTCTCCTTGTGCCCTCCATCTTTCCCGACATCAGGGTTTTTTTCCAAGGAGTCTTCTTTTCTGATGAGGTGGCCAAAGTATTGGAGCCTCAGCTTCAGGATCTGTCCTTCCAGTGAGCACTCAGGGCTGATTTCCTTCAGAATGGATAAATAAATATCCAAATAATAATAAATCAATATTATTATTATTGCTCTGCTGGGGATCAGGGGCCCTCCCCATCCCCGGGAGAGTCATCCCTGGTGCCAGCGGCCATCAACAGCTCTCTCCTCCTCCATGATCCCCTTTCAAAGCCATCCAAGTCGGTGGCCACCACTGCCTGCTGTGGCAGGGAGTTCCACAGTTTAACCATATCCTGCATGAAGAAGCGCTTCCCCTTTTATGCGTCCCGCCCTAGCGAAGTACACTTCCCATCATCCCTGGCGCAGCTGCCGCGCAGGCGCACAACCCTTATTCCCAGAACCCCTTGCCCGAAGCGAAGTTCATGAAGCCACGCCTCTTTAACTGTTTCCTGGCACGCTCCTCGAGCGCCGCGCATGCGCGAAGGGGCGCGGCCTACTGACGTGGCTGCCAAGGTTTTTTTCCCCCCTCAGCAGGCAATGGCCGCGCCAGTCGCTGATTCCTCCTCGGGAGATTCCGGCCGGCCGCCGCTGCATATGGCGGCGCTGGTGTTGGCTCGCGGCGGCAGCAAAGGAATCCCGCTGAAGAACATTAAGCTCCTGGCCGGGGTCCCGCTGATTGGTTGGGTGCTGAGGGCAGCCCTCGACTCCGGCGTCTTTCAGAGGTGTGCGCATGCGCGAATACCATTTTCCTTTTTTCCCTCTCTCTCTCCCCCCCCTCGCTTCACCCACCCAAGGAGTGAGAGTTCTTTTGTCTCCAGGCGAGACTTTGGGGTTATTTTGAGACTCTCTGTAGATTGGACAGAGGAGTTGGGGGGGGGGAGGGAATGCAATGCAATGGCGCCTTTTTCTTTTTCAAATTTCAAAGCAAGGCTTTTTAGCTTAATTTATATATAGCCCGGGCTTGCTGTGGTTTTTTGTGGTTTTTTCATTTTTTAAAAAATGACTCTTGTGTGTGTTAATTTATTTCACAAAATTTATATTTCGCTTAATTGTAAAGTGGAGGGAAACCACAAAGCAGCTTACAGAATGAATGAAACAGTTGTTCTTTTTTTGTAATTAAACAATGACAGCGTAAAAACTACAAATGTGTCATTGTGTCTGAAGATTTACTCCACTACTTACTGGTTTGCCCAGTCTAGAAGGACTTAAGAGCAGCCGTATTCAGACACTTAAATCCCCCACTTGGGAGATTGATTAGGTCTTTGATTAACTTTTTATTAAGGGACAGTTCCTTCTACACCTCTGGAAAAGTGGCCTGTTCTGTGGCAGTTTGAAGGAGAAAGGTTTTGTGGGGACGATCTGATTCTTCAGGGGAGCAGAATGTGCCAGTTTGTCTGCTTCAAATAATTATTTTAACTGTGCAATGTGTTTTATTCTGTTTTGTGTACTTTATCTTTTGCAGTGGCTTCAGCCACACAAATGATATTTATTTTAAAATAAAATAAAAGTCCAGCAATTTGATAGATAGATCTAAAACAACACAAACATTTCAGAACAGTACCCCATACATATAAAAACAGTCAAAAGTTGTTCCATAAAGGCACACCTTTGGGTAGATGCCCGAATGACTATAGGTAGGGGTTGGGTGGGGATTCTCTCCAGAACTGGTATAACTGCTTCTGGAGCATAGTGGTGTGAAAAGTTGACACGGAGTGACAAGGACTTCATTGAGTCAGCTGTGCTTGAAGGCCTGCTTGCCTTTTGTTTCCTTTATCCATGTCACAGTTGAAGGACTGTGATTGTCATGTTCCCAGGGCTCTTTGGAGGGGGTTGGTCTAGATGACCCTCAGGGTCCCTTCCAACTCAACAATTCTGTGATTTTTTTTCTGGCGATAGACTCTTGGACATGAATGTTGCCTTGCTTTTATGCAGCGTTGCCCACTGCACCTTCCTCTCTCCTTTCTTCCTTTCCAGCTGAAAACAATAAACAAATAATTTATTTTTTTTTAAAAATGCATAGGATCAGTCTGTCTTATCTGTTGCATTTAACAACTCATTTTTTTGATACTGAAGTCGGCGTCCCATGAGTCTTCCATTCTGCCCTCTTGGATATTATTCCCACACATGAGATACCAAATCACTTGGCTATTTACAGGCCTGCCACTAAGGCTGAGAAATGGAGAACCTGTGGCCCTCCAGATGTTGTTGGGCTCCAACTCCCGTCAGCCTGGCCAGCCATCACAGATTGATGGGGGCAGTGGTCCCGACGGCATTCAGAAGGCTGTAGATTCCTCATCCCTGTCCTAGGTAAGCAGCCTCAGGCCAGTATACCTGAAGGAGCATCTCCACCCCCATTGTTCTGCCTGGACACTGAGATCCAGTGCTGAGGGTCTTCTGGCGGTTTCCTCACTGCGAGAAGCCAAGTTACAGGGAACCAGGCATAGGGCCTTCTCGGTAGTGGCCCCTGCCCTGTGGAACGCCCTCCCGTCAGATGTCAAAGAGAAAAACAACCACCAGACTTTTAGAAGACCTTTGAAGGCAGCCCTGTTTAGGGAAGCTGTTAATGTTTAATAGACAATTGTGTTTTAATACTTTGTTGGAAGCCGCCCAGGGTGGGTGGGGAGACCCACCCAGAAGGGCGCGGTATAAATAATAAATTACTATTATTATTATTATTATTATTATTAATTGGTACAAAGGAAGATGTGAACATCATGCAGCTGCATTAAATGTCCTATGTTTGCAAGGTTTTCCTTTCTTGTGACTGCCGTTCTCAGTGGCTTGTAGGGAAATAGCTTTGATCCTTCTTGTCTGTCTGGGCAATAACTTGTTGCTGCTGCCTTCTGCCTGCCGATAGCGTGTGGGTTTCCACAGACCACGACGAAATCGAGAAAGTGGCCAAGCAGTTTGGGGCAAAAGTCCACCGGAGAAGCTCGGAAGTGTCGAAAGACTCCTCTACCTCCCTAGATGCCATCGTGGAGTTCCTCCAGTATCACCATGGTATGGCGTCCACCTTTGTTTTAAAAAGTATCTATATTTTTATATCCCCTCCGCCTTTCTCAAGGCATCTTAAACGTTGAAAACAAATAATAAATCAAATCACCATCTTTCAAATTTAGGCAAGAGGCAAAATAAGGCAATTCACATTGCAGTGACGTGCACCAGAAAAAAAATTTGAGTTTGCATTGGAAATTGTTCTGATTCAGCATGTTTATTTTACCTGCATTTAGTAAACAAAGCTAAACACTTTGAAACTGTGAAGGATGCCTAATAATTGCATTTGCAGCTAGCGTGCAGTCATTGTTTCTAAATAATTTTATGAAATGGGGGGGGGAATTGACACACACACACACACACACCCCATCAGCTTGCTATTTCATGACTTTCAGTTCAGCCTTGTAAACAAGTCTGCAAAAGTTACTAGCTTGTTTTTGGTTTGTTTGCTTTTAATAAAGTAGCCTGCTGGGGACCAGCAAAGAATGGAGCCCTGCCCCTCTGGCTCACCTGCGTGGAATTTCATGTTGCCAGTGGTTACCAGGCTACTGGCTAAATTCAGATTTGGTCCTGCTAAAGATAATAGCCTGCTCATGTTTTGGATTTCCTCTTATGTCTCCGCCTGAACTTTTTTTTATGTGGTGCTGGAAATGCTATTGATGCATTGTGAGTAATATTGCACATTGTTACCTAAACACTGTGATATTCATCTCCTCTGTGTCATTCTCTTCTCCTTTCCCCTCCCCACTTCAGAGGTTGATGTCATAGGAAATATCCAAGCAACTTCCCCTTGTTTACATCCCACTGATCTTACCAGGGTGGCCAAAATGATCCAGGAGGATGGCTTTGATTCCGTGTTCTCCGTCGTCAGGCGGCATCAGTTTCGGTGGAGCGAAATAAAAAAAGGAGGTGAGCGGTATTGCTTCTCATAAAAGCATTCAAGCAAATATAAATTATTATCATTTTCATCATTATTACATGTGCATAAGTGCCATACATAGCACAATGCAGTCCTCATGTCACACACCCAAACCTCCTACCTTCCTACCATTCCAGAATCCCACATACACATTTTTCCCTCCGTCTATCCCTATTAGACTGATACTCGATCTTTAATTCTAGGTATTCATTGGTCATTTTGAGTGGTTGCAGTTCAGATTGGGTGGTTAGGCTCGCGTTAAGCGCTTCATTTGCCATTTGCATTATATCGGCTCTGCGATCAGATACTATCTCAACTTTAGCTTCAAGTGGCTGCAGAGCAGCAGTCCAGCCATTTGCTAGAGCCTGTCTTATTTTGGCAGTGAGTTGCTTTGAATCCCTCTCCTCCTTTGGGGCCATTGGAGGTTTTTACGCCCTTTTGCCTGGAAACGCCAGGTGCCATGTCTTCCACACCAGCTTTGTCCGACAGCTCTGAGTAATCAACCTTTAGAGCATCCTAGAGATCCTAGGATCATAGAATTGTAGAGTCGAAAGGAACACCAAGCTCCATCTAGTCCAGCCCCCCTCAAGCCTTGTTAATTTGCTTTTGGAACTGCCAGGTTAGATTTGATTTAAGTCAAATCGATTTCAATCACTAGTCAGTAAGACTTGATTTCAATCACTAGTCAGTAAGACTTGATTTAAATCATTTTTTTACAGAAAGACTCATTCTTGCTGGTATAATCTTAATATTTACAACCAGATGAAGGTTTCATTTTTGGAATAATAAATTTTCAGAGTAGTTTTTGCAGTTATATAAAAAATTACTGATATTGGTTATACTATTAGAAACACATTGTCAGATAATTATGAGGTTATTGTGAGGTTTAATAAGTTAACTGTTTATATTTGGACAACTTTCCTGCTGTACTTTATTGGAAAGAGACAATTTATTTAAATAAAACAATAACATTATAGCATATGTATCCATGTTTGTTAACTGATGTGGTTAAATGGTTTTAAAAAAACAAAAACCTTAGACTGAGTTTTAGCACACATGAAAAACTTAAAACAAATCCTTATTTCCTGATGAATAGCCTTTGGACTATAATGTAACTTAAATAGAAAACTATCTTTAAAAAGATTTTTCCTCCAAAAGCATTTTATTTTAAAAATCTGATTTAAATTTTTTTTAAAAAAATCAATTTTATTTATTCATTCATTTTAATAATTGATTTTTATCCACCCTGGAGACTGTGAAAGCCCCACAGGGAGAGGTCTCAGAGAGGTGAGAAACAGCATCATTGCATGCATTAATCCCGAGGGTATAGTGTATAATAGACGAGGGTAGCAGAGATTCAAAATCGAGCTGCCATTGGACTTCTTCTTTTGCCTCTCGTCTCTCTCCCCGCCCCCCCCCGCCCCCCGCTTTTATCAGTAAGTGAAGTGACCGTACCTCAAAATCTGAATCCGGCCAAGCGCCCCCGCCGGCAGGACTGGGACGGAGAGCTCTATGAAAACGGGTCTTTCTACTTTGCCAAAAGGCCCCTGATCGAAAAGGGGTATTTGCAGGTTGGTGCAGGTGTTGAGCTGGGAATTTCGTCCTTCCCATCTTAACAGTTTTTTTTCTTCTTCTTCTTTTTTTGAAATCGTGTTCTAAGGTGAGCTTGAGACTCCTGTCTCCCAGGTCTCAGTCCAACGCTCTTAACACTATACAACACTTATTTCAATGCAGATCCCTTCATTGCTCTTTAAACGCCTACATTATGGGAAGGAATCCTGGCTGGCTGGCTGGGTGCGTGTCTTCTCTCCTGTGCCATTTCCCCACAAAAAATCCCCCTTCAAAGCTGTCATTTGCCCCAAAGGTGCCACTGAGAGCCCCTGTGGTGTAATACTTAGAGTGTTGGACTGAGCCCTGGGAAACCAGGATTCTCGTCCCAACTCAGCAATGAAGCTCACTGGGTGACCTTAGGCCGTTTCTCAACCTAACCCACCTCACAGGGTTGTCGTGAGGATAAAATGGGGAGAAAGGGGATCAATGTAATAAACAAATATGTTGCAATGGCACCTTCTGGGCAAACACCAGCCTTTTTTGCTGGCTGTGGGGGGGATTTGGCAGGAAAATTGAAAGGGGAGAAGGTTTAGAACTTTCTGCCTGGGTTGTGGTTCCCCAGCAAGGTAACTGTTTGAAAGCAGTGCTTATCTGAGATTTTAATGATACCACATCCAGTAATCTGGCTGCTGCATTTTGGACCTGAATTGACACTTCCTAGCCGTCTCCCAAGGGCAGCCCCACGTGGAGCACATTGCGGTGGTCCAGTCTGGGCTGGCTCATGGAGTGCAGTGTACAAGATATAAACCTTGTCAAGTCAAAATAAATAAGTGGAAAGGTGTAGGAGGAGGCTCCAGTGTAGCGCAAGACCAGAGAGACTTTAGTTTGCATTCACACCTGGCTAAGAAAGCTACCAGTTTGCCTTGCTTAGGCGCTTAAGCTCAGGTCTCCTTGAGACCCTTCCAGGAAGCATTAAGTGGCGGACTTCCTTCCTTCCTTCCTTCTGTGTTGGGAATGCCCTCTTCTGCTGGAGAAAGGGTTGGGTCAAGGCCCCTGCTGCTCTCCAGGTGGTTGCATGTGCCCCAGAGGTCATTTGACATGAAATACCACATGCTGGCATATTCTGCCCCTTCCTCCCTCTCTGCTTCAGCCAAACTGACTGGCGTGTTCTTTTAATTTTGCTTAGGGTGGGAAAATGGCTTATTACGAAATGCGCGCCGAGCATAGCGTGGATATAGATGTTGACATTGACTGGCCCATTGCAGAGCAAAGAGTCCTGCGGTAATATATGTGTATATTTCATTTATTTGGCGCCTCCACAGTTTGCTCCAATTTGTATTACATGTGTCTGTTTTAAGGTAAAGGTAAAGGGACCCCTGACCATTAGGTCCAGTCGGGACAGACTCTGGGGTTGCGGCGGTCATCTCGCTTTATTGGCCGAGGGAGCCAGCGTACAGCTTCCAGGTCATGTGGCCAGCATGACTAAGCCGCTTCTGGCCAACCAGAGCAGCTCATGGAAATGCCATTTACCTTGCCGCCAGAGCGGTACCTATTTATCTACTTGCACTTTGACATGCTTTCGAACTTCTAGGTTGGCAGGAGCTGGGAGAGAGCAACGGGAGCTCACCCCGTCGCAGGGATTTGAACCGCTGACCTTCTGATCGGCAAGTCCTAGGCTCTGTGGTTTAACCCACATATAATTTTAGTGTTCACATTATGCTGTTCACCGTCATATGGCAGTCTTTTGCTTAATGCTGATGGTATAGAAATTTTTACCCTTTGCCTTGTGGGGCAGCAACGGGAGAAGAAAGGGCTGAGGAGGAAACCCTAGGTCAGACCTCACCTGGAGTACTGTGTCCAGTTCTGGGCACCACAGTTCAAGAAGGACACTGACAAACTGGAATGTGTCCAGAGGAGGGCAACCAAAATGGTCAAAGGCCTGGAAACGATGCCTTATGAGGAACGGCTAAGGGAGCTGGGCATGTTTAGCCTGGAGAAGAGAAGGTTAAGGGGTGATATGATAGCCATGTTCAAATATATAAAAGGATGTCACATAGAGGAGGGAGAAAGGTTGTTTTCTGCTGCTCCAGAGAAGCGGACACGGAGCAATGGATCCAAACTACAAGAAAGAAGATTCCACCTAAACATTAGGAAGAACTTCCTGACAGTAAGAGCTGTTTGACAGTGGAATTTGCTGCCAAGGAGTGTGGTGGAGTCTCCTTCTTTGGAGGTCTTGAAGCAGAGGCTTGACAACCATATGTCAGGAGTGCTCTGATGGTGTTTCCTGCTTGGCAGGGGGTTGGACTCGATGGCCCTTGTGGTCTATTCCAACTCTATGATTCTAGTACACAAATCCAGACTGGTGTCCCTAAGACTGTTGGATGGTGCCTTGTACGCCTCCTTCCAGCAACTCCTGCAGCCAAGCTGGTGTCAAATGTATTGCTCTGTTTTCCTTTGGACCACATCAGCAAGGCTGGGGGGCGGGATCTTGTTGTCTGGGCAGCCCAGGACCGCAACACACACTGTCCAGGCTCCAGGAGAGGTCACTTTGGTGCTGCTAAGGCAACTTACCAGTTTCTGCAGCCACAGCAGGCGCTGTGATTCTCCAGCACTTTGACTTCACCCCTAGATGTGCACTCCATTGTCTCTCGAGACATACGGATGCCCACAACAAAAATGAATTTTTTGCAAATGAATAATGTCTTATGAATTTTTAAATTGAAGAGTGCTATAAAAACATAAATAAAATTTAAAAAACGGCCTCGGTCCTGTATACCTGAAGGAGCGTCTCCACCCCCACTGAGATCCAGCACCGAGGGCCTTCTGGCGGTTCCCTCATTGCGAGAAGTGAGGTTACAGGGAACCAAACAGAGGGCCTTCTCGGTAGTGGCACCCACCCTGTGGAACACCCTCCCTTCAGATGTCAAAGAGAGAAACAACTACCTGACATTCAGAAGAAATCTTAAGGCAGCCCTGTTCAGGGACGTTTTTAATGTGTGACATTTTAGTGTATTTTTGGTCTCTGTGGAAGCCGCCCAGAGTGGCTGGGGAAACCCAGCCAGATGGGCGGGGTACAAATAATAAATTATTATTATTATTATTATTATTGTAAGGAATACATACCTAAAATGTCCGGCCACACTGTGGCCCAGTTTTCATTGAGGTTGAAAATCTGTGCCTGGGCTATACCACTCCATCCTGCGATTGGGGATTCACACAATCAAATACATCCTGTATGCAAAAATGCCCTCTTCAAAGGGGAAAAAAAAAAATCAGGTAGAAGGTGTGGCGATCACACAGGGTCCCCGGACGTTTCACCGTCTATTGATCCCTGTGCCACTACTTTATTTCTCGCTGCCACCACCCAGGCCCTACCTGGTACAATACTGAGTCCAGTCAGGGTTAAATTGAAACAAAAACTTTTGTTTATTTATTGCAGTTTAACAAGCATGTGGTTTCATAAACTATCAGTCAATTACATTCATGGGGTGCCTATCCAGTCCTATAACTTTCGCTACCTGCTCTCACTCACTAAACCACCTCTCTGATATTTACTTGTCTGCCTAGCCCCTAACTGTTCCTGACTCAGCCTATTTCATTACACTAACTCAACCTACCCACAACTCTATCCCAATTAACTCTCCCCTTTGCCCCTCCCAGAGCTGGTTTTATAGTCCCACTGACTCCACCCCCCTGGGTCCTGATTGGGCAGCCTGTTTAACTATTTCACCTCCAGAACTCTCTCATCTGTTAACGTCACAGAAGGCTAGCCCAGCTTCCTTTATTCCTGACACCTGCTTGTTCAGGGAATCATATTAGAGGAAAAATATATCAGGTGGTTTAAAGACTCTCTCAAGGCAAATCTAAAAAAATGTAGTATAAACACCAGCAACTGGGAAACACTGGCCTGCAAGCTCTCCAATCGGAGAACAGCCTTTACCAAAGGTGTCATGGACTTCGAAAACGCTCGAACTCAGGACAAAAGGGAGAAACGTGCTAAGAGGAAGGCACACTTGGCAGACCCTCACCATGATCAGCTTCTGCCCAGAAACCAATGTCCCCACTGTGGAAGGACATGTGGGTCCAGAATTGGCCTCCACAGTCACTTACAGACTCACTGTTAAAACCGTGTTTATGGAAAACAATCTTACTTGGCTATGAGTGATCGCCAGAGAAGACAGAAGTGGTGCAGCCCAGAGGCAGGTTTGCAACCTCAGTGAGAATGAAGTTCCTATTGTCTTATTTGTTTCCCTTTTCCCCAGTCATGTGAGATTGCATAGCAGAGGCAAATGTCACACACAAACACACAGACGCCACCCCCTTACTTATGATTGCCACATCCATCTTTCCAGGTACGGCTACTTCGGTAAAGAGGCCTTGAAAGAGGTGAAGCTGCTGGTTTGTACCATTGATGGATGCCTCACCACGGGCCACATCTACGTCTCGGGAGATGAGAAGGAGATTCTTTCCTATGACGTCAGGGATGCGACTGGAATCTGCCTGCTTCAGAAAAGAGGTGTCGAGGTGTGTCTTCGCTTCTTTCAGCTGTCTTGCGGCTGATTCACCCGTCAGGGTTGCCAGGAGGAACTTGCCTTTTCTTGTAAGGAAAGCAAGTTTCTAGATCTCAGCGTTTCAGGGAGAAAACCTCAAAACCATATGGCTCAGTGTGGTTGGGACTTTAGAAGAGGCTTAGTGGGGCTTTGTTGCCCTGATTAAATGCGGCCATTTCTCCCATCTCCCGCTAAACTCAGGAACTGCACGTATGAGTTCACAAAAAGAAAACATCCCAAATTGCTGCAATAAGATTTGTTCCAGCAAGATTTCATCGTGTTATTTTTACAGGAGCTTTTCACGTTGCAAAACTATTGTGTAAAGCTCCTGTAAAAATAACAAGATAAAATTCACTCCCCCAGAAAACAGTGGTACCAACCAACCCAGGTGACTTTTTTTTCCTTTTTTTTTTTTTTTGTATGTTTCTATTATTATTATTTTGTGGAAATAATTTTTATTTGATTTTACAAGTACAGAGTTATAACAATACAAAATACATACCCATAACAATACAAAATACATACCCAGAGATTTCTTTGAATCTCTAGACTTCCCACCTTTCCCCTCCATGGGCCCTATTATAAACCTTTTCAACTGCATATTATTTCATCATCCAAACTTGATGTCTTTTCCTTTTCATCCACAGTACAGTGGTACTGCAGGTTAAGTACGGAGGTCCGTTCTTAACCTGAAACTGTTCTTAACCTGAAGCACCACTTTAGCTAATGGGGCCTCCTGCTGCCACTGTACCGCCGGAGCACGATTTCTGTTCTCATCCTGAAGCAAACTTCTTAGCCTGAAGCACTATTTCTGGGTTAGCGGAGTCTGTAACCTGAAGCGTATGTAACCCGAGGTACCACTGTATATTCTACATTAGAAGTGTTATAGTGTTTTCATCTGCTTATAGTGGTTTCTCCAGTAAATTATAAATTTTCCCCATTCTTTTTTGAAGTTTTGGTCTTCTTGGTTCCTGAGCTTTCCAGTCAGTTTTACCATTTCATCGTAGTCCATCAGCTTATTTTGCCATTCTTCTCTGGTAGGGACTTTGTCTTTCCATCTCTTAACCCAGATGACTTTCAAAGAGGAGCAGACTATTGGTGGCCGCTAGCCGTGCTGGAAACTATGCTCTGTGAGAGGCCTGCAAGAGGAGATGAACTCCTCTTCTGGCCTCTAACATGCTCTGCCTCCACAATTGAAGGCAGCCATGGTTCTGAATACCAGTTGCTGGAAGTTGCTCAGGACAGGATAGTACTATATAATTATTATTATTATTATTATTATTATTATTATTATTTATTTATACCCCGCCCTTCCGGCTGGGTCCCCCCAGCCACTCTGGGCGGCTGCCAACAAAAGACTAAAATACAATAACCTATTAAACATTAAAAGCTTCCCTAAACACGGCTGCCTTTAGATGTCTTCTAAAAGTCTGGTAGTTGTTTATTTCTTTGACATCTGGCGGAAGGGCATTTCACAGGGCGGACGCCACTACCGAGAAGGCCCTCTGCCTGGTTCCCTGTAACTTGGCTTCTCGCAGCGAGGAAACCGCCAGAAGGCCCTCGGCACTGGACCTCAGTGTCCGGGCAGAAGGATGGAGGTTCACGTCCCCTTGCTCACATCCCCCTTGCAGGCTTCCTACAGACACCTGGTCAGCCACTGTGAGAACAGGATGCTGGACTGGGTGGGCCATTGGCCTGATCCTGCAGGCTCCTCTTGTGTCCATAGGTGCGGCTGATCTCCGAGAGGGACTGCTCATCGAAGACTCTTTCTGCCATGAAGTTGGGCTGTGCTGCGGAAGTCAACGTGGCTGACAAGCTGCTGGTCGTAGAGAAATGGAGGAAGGAAATGGGGCTTTGCTGGAAGGAAGTGGCCTATTTAGGTGAGGCTTGATCTCCACCTGAAAATACAGCTTTGTGCTGTATGTCAGAGATGGGGAGCCTGTGGACTACAACTCCCATCATCCCTGGCCATTAGCTGCGCTGGCTGGAGCTGCTGGGAGCTGGAGTCCATCAACAACTGGAGAGCCCAACCCACAAGCATGTGGGATGGAAGGGCGCCAAATTTTGGCCTTACCTCCAGCACAAACAACAAGGCAGTGGTGCAGCCCGCGGGTTCCATGCCAAGGTTGGTCTGCCCTGATCTAAAGTATCTATGACAGCTCTAGTCGAAGTTTGCATTTAAGGGTTTGGGGGTTTTTTTATGTGTTTGGTCTAATCTAGGGATGATCTAGGGTCTAATCTTTGACCTTCCACACACTGTTGAACTACTGTTGAACTACAGCTCCCATCAGATTTGTAGTCCAACAACATCTTGAAGGCCACAGATTGGCCACCCTAGAGAATCTCATCTTCTTCTTCTTCTTCTTTTATTTTTAAAGAATATTTATTCCAATTTTAAGATTACAACAAAAAAGAAAAGAAAAAAAACATACAAAAAAGAATAAAACATGTTACAAAAAACAGACAATAAAAAAAAACTCAACAAAAGATAAAAATACATTATAATAAGGTATAACAAAAATCAAATTAAACCTTTACAACCTTTTTCCCTTTTACTTGTTTCCATGACTTCCTCTCACCTCCCCGCTTTGTATTCTAGTTTAGATCGTATTTACAGCAAATCCTTCTAACCTTCTTTTCATTTACTTATTTTAACATTCAATAACATTCAATAGAGAATCTCATCTTCTCCTGAAGAATACAAGCAAAATTATGACGCTTACCAAGCAAAGGCTCCTGTTCCCAATGTGCTAGGAAGTTCTCCTGCTCAGGTGTGATTCCTTCAGTGCAGGTGATTGGATTAGATGACCCCTGGGGGGGTTCCCTGTTCCGTTGAGCGTCCGTTTAGGCTGCGAACAGCGGGACTGTTGTGGTGTCCAGTCCGCTTCCACTGTGCCAACCTGCTTTTCCCAGCTACCAGCAGAGTATCTTGCGCAACGGTGTGCCTGTGTGGAAGGAATCTCAGCCATGCCGTAAAACTATCGTACAACAGCTTCTCTATTCTACGAAGCTTTATTGTACAGCAGCAAAAATAAACAGTTCGGCCAGGAGAGAGCGAAGGCGTGATGCTTCTCCTGTCGCAGCAAAACAGAAAGTAAGACGTTCACATAACAAAGATGCGAACACACCCCCAGTGACAGGACATAACATCCCATGAGCTGTTAACCCTATAAGCTCTGGGTATCCTCACAGTCCCTTCCAACTCTCCAATCCTATGAGCCTATGAAACCTTAGGTTTTGTGGTGTACTGTTGCAAGCACCTTCATTGCCTTGGGAATGAAACACTGAAGCTTCGATGAATGGATGCTTGGGATCAACAGTCTTCTACTAGCGGTGGGCTTTTGTTGTTATGGTCCTGATCGAATATGTGTCTCTGTCGCTGCAGGAAATGAGGAATCGGATGTGGAGTGCCTGAAGAAAGCTGGCATGAGCGCAGTCCCCGCTGACGGCTGCCCTGCTGCCCAGAAAGCCACCGGCTACATCTGCAAATGCAACGGTGGCCGCGGCGCGATCCGGGAGTTTGCAGAGCACATATTCCTCCTAATGGAAAAGGTGAATTCAGCTGGAAAGAAGCTCTGCTGATAAAATCCTGAAAGCCACCACCCTTGGGGAAGCAGTCTCCTAAATCATTTCTTATCGTTCAGTCACTGTGCTCTTTTTTTTCTTTTTTCTTTTGACATTTCAAGGATCCCAAAGGGCATTCTCAGGAAATTGTAAAAGCATGGATTTCCAAGCATTTAAATCAAATTGTTATGTTTCCTGTTGTGGTCCCATGCTGGCATAAAAAAAGCCAGCCAAATCAAGCCAATATTGCAATATAGATCAACATCATGGGTCTTGCTGGAATGTTAAAGTTTGCAACATTCATGTCTTTCTTCCTGGGGTGGGGGCAGACCTGGGGTATTTTTTTCTTTGGCAAATGTGATTCTTGGTGGTTTGGGGTTTTTTTCAGGCAAATGTAGGATTTTATCAGTATCAAATGCTATTGCTCAAGGAACGGATTTGACGGGAACGAGAAGGGGCCATTGTTTTCAAAGTTCAGTTCCTTGCAGAGATAATAATAATAAGTTATTATTTATACCCCGCCCATCTGGCTGGGTTTCCCCAGCCACTCTGGGTGGCTCCCAACAGAATAGGGAGTGGTCTTCTACGTGAGAAAGGGTCTGCCCTCTCCTGTCTAGTAGGAATACAGGTGTTCCACTGTCCATCTCTGTCCATCTCTCAAGAAGTGTGCTCCTGCAGCAAGGTTATGTATAAGGACTCTCAAGTTTGCAAGAAACTGAATCCCACCGCTGTTCTGGATTGTACAGTCGAGGGGCCCATAATTCAGGGGTGGCATGTGTGGAAAGTTCCCAGATTCAAACCCCGGCATCTCCAGTTAATAGGATCAGGCGGGTGGTGATGTGAAAGGGCCGTAGACCCTTGATCAATAATCCTGGGCTTGATGGACACATAATTTTCCTACAAAGGCAGCGATAGGCTGCCCTGGTTCCATTAGTTGCTGCTCAAGATGCCGTCTGGTTGGCTATCTGTTTGACTTTTGCAACGGTTCATAGGCCACGCTACCTTTTGAGTCTGGTCTTAAGGTCTGATTTTCTTTTTCTCCTCCCATCCCTCTCCTCTTATTGGCGAATGTCCCTCCCCCCCCCCCGGAGGGTGCATATGATAAACCCTTCCTATATATTGAGGGAGGGTGGCTTTGCATGCTGAGGAAAGGCTAGGGTCAACACTTCTCCCCAAAATGCCGAATTCTGAATCAGCAAGGGATGGGTTGGGTTTTTGTTTTGTTTTTAACATGCAAGGGCCATTCAAACATTCAGCTCCCTCACCTGCAGCAAGACGTAACACAGTCTGATAAACGTTTTCCCTCCTGTCCTTTTGGGCTGAGTTTAACTGAAGGATAAGCTCCCCCTGAAAGCACTTAACCGCACAATGCGCAGCACAGTGGGTGCTTCGTTTTAAAGGACAATAGAGGCATTTGCTAGCTGCTATGTACTCGGAGCCAGTAATCATATTCTGGAAGTGCTCTGTTTGTTTGCAAGCACCGCACACATAGAGACTTGTATCACCCTTGCTTAATGTTGGCTGGGTCACATTTATGCATAGATCCAATACGCACTGGATTAAAGCATGCACTTTGCAGTCTTCTACCTTCTTCTCAGAAATCCCTTCCTGGCAAGACTGGATATATGGACCTCTGAAACCAATTCTAAAAACCTAGGGCTTCTCCACGTTCAAAACAGGTCACCTCTCCAGAGGAAGAAAACCCCACTCTTGTGAGCAGAATACCTGCAAATAAGTTTGGCTATATTTATCTTCTGTCCCCCCCCCCCCCCAAAAAAAATGGAATAGCCAGGTGTGAACTAAAGTGGATTTTGGCCAGTTTGGAAGAGACAAGAGAGGAGTTGACGATTTAGTACCAAAGGAATGGTCTTCCTTTCTCCCGAGACCTTAGCACTTAAGCAGAAAGATGAGCAATGAATTTATATTGAATTACTTGTGAGCGGAGGGTGGGTTGTACTGTTTTCTGACTGTTGTATTCAGAAAATTACCAGGCGCTGTGACTTGCAAGTCAGGAGAGTGCTTTTGCACTCAGGTAGCAACAGAATTCTGTATCAGATGGACTTTGGCCTCCCGCAGCAGGAATCTTCTTACTTGCTTAAATACTGTATAGGATAAATTTTCTTCCAGCGGGTGGAGTTATGTTGTGTTCTTTGTGTTTAGTAAATTCCTGGGAGCTGGAAATGGAGAACTTCTACTGCTCAGTTGCTTGGTTGGGTTTTATATATATATATATATATATATATATATATATATATATATATATATATATATATATATATATATATATATATATATATATATATATATGAATGATAATTGATTTGTCTTGTTGATTATTTATAAGCTCAGGTAATGAGCTGCCAATGGTTAAAAGAAATCTTAATCAGAGTAGGCTTTGCTTTTCTATCCAAGAATAAAAAAGGTTTTTAAAAAAACACACTGCTGTGATTTGGTTTGGTTTGGTTTGGTTTTTCTTCCTTGGGCCAGTCACTGCCTCTAGGCCTACCTCGCATGGTTGTCATGGGGGATTAAATGAGGAGGAGGAAAACCATGTATGCCACCTTGAGCTCCTTGGATATTATCTCACTTATGATATAAATGCAATAAATAAATAACCTACCTCACTGGATGCTTGTGAGGATAAGAGGTGGAGGGAGTGTACTAATAAGCTGGACTAGCGATCCTTTGCCCTAGAGACCCAGGGCAAGCATGATTTGTACCAATCCAGGGGTAACTAGCTGATGAAGTCAAAGGTAACTGTGCACCCTTTGCAAGGTTCAGCGAGGGATGGTCTTAAATCAACGGGGTTTGCTTGGAAAACAACTGCCCTGAGAAGTGCAAAAATCAGATGCTTCCCCTCTGCCTCCTGTTTCAGCCACTAGATGTTGCTGCCACCTTCCTCCTCCAAAGCCAGAAGCACAGAATTGCCAGGGGTTTTGATCATATCGCAGCCTCCGGCTCTTTTCACTTACGCATCCCCGCTATAATTTGTGACGCCGATTTGTTAAATGGTTGCAGGCGCGCTCGTAAAAACGACTGCCAGAATAGTCCCCACGGAGCGATACATATTTTTTCCCTGCTTTCTTTTTAAAATCCTCTGTGGCAGAGGGATTGAATTCTAAGCGCGGATAAGCGGCTGCAGGCTGGGGATATTGACATCGCACACATCACGGCCCGATAAATGGCTGTCTAAGAGGGGTTGGTCTGTCCGTAAGAACGCGCCCGATCTCAGAGGGGCACAATACCTCTCACCTCTAGATGTTGCCGAGTTTTTGTTTCCATCAGCTGCAGTCGGCATAGGCCAGGGTCCGAGATAATGGTCCGTGCATAGTTAGACTGTGGAACTCACTCCCACAAGAGCCAGTGTTGGCCATCCACTTGGGTGGCTTCAGAAGATTAGATGGAGGGAAGGTTTAGGGTTAGGGTTCTCCTTACGTTCTCAGGAGACCAGCAAGCATCAGTACGGCCGCAAGTTCCCCATCTCACAGTTTTGCCTTTTTGCAGATATAAACTGTAGTCTTACATTTCTGCATTTTACATTTCTTTTTTCTTTCTTTTTTGTATATAATTTTTATTAAATTTTCTGTTTTACAGTTTAAAATACTCATTTAAACATCCTTAAAATGTCAGTGACTTCGCTTCTTCTCTTTCCACGGTTCATTTTGCATATCATAAATCCCTGCGTATTTTACAAAAACTAAACCATTCAGGATTCCATTATTGCATCCATCAAAACTTATTTACACTGTTGAATTTATCTTAATGCTGCCAATGTTTTCAAGTGTACACAATTCCCCCCCCCCCATATACTCAATAAACGTTTTCCAATCTTCTCATTAGCAAAACATGTCTATCTAGTTCTGCAAACTTGACATTATGGAAATATGCCATTTCCCCCCCTGCAATTTGTCAATGCCTGCTAGGGTCGAACAATTTCTCCTTGTGCTGTGACTTTATTTTAGCCTCTTAAATGGCTAGTTTCATGCTTGACAGACTCTTTTGCATTAGGTCTCTTTTTTTATTGGGTGGGGATCCCTGGTATCCCAGGTCAGAGTCCAGAACTCAAACCACTACACTGCCACTTCCAATACACAAGAAGGCAATATTAGCAGGTGATATCAAAGCCAAACATTTGCAATGTTGTAAAAACAGAAGGAACAGGAACCCCAGTGACCAAGTGGGGACAGACTATTTGGAGAGAGGAGAAAACAGAAAATGGGGGTAAGTGAAATGGAGTGGAGAGGCTTAAGATTATGGACAGATAAACTGCAACATTTGGTCACCGTTCCCACATTTGTGCTTTCTGTTTTCCTCTTTAGAAGAGACATAACCCCAAAACCTGGAGAATACAAGCCTTTTTAAAATATATACAGATCTCCCCAACAAACGTTTCCGTACAGTCACCAGCTGGTGGCTGGTTGCCATCACAATCAGAACTCATAGACAAGATGTTTTGCCACTTCACTAAATTTCATTTTCTTGTTAAATGTCTCTTCGAACATCCGGTTCTGTTTGGGAGTGAAATGGTTTTTCCAGTCACCGACGGCACCTGGAGAATGAGCGATGGAAAAAAATTAAACTGCGCTCTGTCGCAGAGTCTGACTTCTCACTAAACCCTGTTGCCTCTTCGGCTTCCAATGCCTCGTCCTTCTCCCAGTCTTCTCCCTTCTGACCACTCATAGTCATCCCACCACCAACCCCCTGGCTCTGAGCCTTTTCCCCTTGGGGGTTCCCCGGCTGGTTCCTCTCACCATTCCTCTCTTTCCAACCAATCCCTGTACTGATTGGATTGCTGCAGCTGCGTCCTGCCTTGCCTATCCTACATTGAGCAGTGGGTTGAGCTAGGTGTCTTCCCAACTCTAAACATTTATTTATTTTTTGCTCCCTGGTGCATGGTGCTCAGTGCTGACTACCCGGCCATGATGCCGGAGCAAACTTCACCCTGGGACTGAACTTGGGATGTCCTACGTTAAAGGCTTCGCCTCTACCCGTTCCAGCCGAGGTTTTCTTCGGGCTGCCACCCTGTCAACCCTTTCACCTGTTCACGATGTACCCAGCATATTGCCTTGTTTTCTTCACTGTGTCTGGCCTCTGTTTGGTTTCAGATAAACCCAGACACTTTGTCCTGCAATACTGGCTGGGTGGATTATACGAGTGCTGGCAAGCGGGAGAGAAGCAGCGAAATTAAGATAAGGGAGATAAGGGAGATAAAGGAGGAGGGCTGGAGTCCTCATTCACCTGGAAAATGCAGCCCCTGGGAGTAAACAGAGGATTTTATCTATAGCATCCCACCAGTTGGTTATTCTAGTGCTCCATAGGGCACGGCAAAAGGAAAATTGCTTGGAAACATGGCTATCTATGAGAAACGTGCACCAAATGGCTGGTTTCCATGCAGACATTTATTTATTTATTTATTTATTAAAAATGCAAACGAGCACAGCAGCAATGAAGTGGCCTGAACTTCAGGCTGGAGAAACGAGAGAGTGGGAGAAGCAGAAATGGACCAGTTTTTGCTCAGCCCTCCTCCGCCTCCCCTTACCTTTTCGGAATACCAGCTTCCGGTTGGACGTGAGCGTGCAGACCGTGTGGTTCGGATCGTTCTCCTTCTCCGTGTTGGTTTTCATCTCGCTGAACGAGGATTTCTTGCAGATCTCGTGGATCCTGCTCTCGCTGGTGTTGAGCGCCAGGAAAGCACTGACCTTCTTCACAACCTTTGGGAGGTCCTGGGAGATGAAAGCAGCAGAGGATGACCCCTGCAGGCACCTGCTCCATTGAAGTGAATGGGGAGCACACCAAATCGTAGCCTTTTTGTGCTTTTCGGCAAAGACTGGGCAGGGCTATGAGTGGGTTTGGGAGGGGCTTTTGAAGTAGGCACAATTTTGCACCTGAATCATGGAAGAACCCGAGGAAGTAATCTGGATTTTGCTAGAATACAATTCCCATCATCCCTGTGCCTTGGCCAAGCTGGCTGGGGAATAAAGGGAGCTGAGAGTCCAATAATACCTAGAGGACCACAGATTTCCCACTTCTGTTCTACAGAACTACCAGGAAGGAAGCACTGATGAACTCAGCTAATTCTTGGTTGTCATGCCTAAATAAAGATGAGCAGAACAGAAGCTTCCCACCCATCTTTCTGATACTGAATCGTCCAAGCTCCGCTGGCAGCATTAACACAGGTGCTACCTTGCAAGGAAGGGATGCGGGTGGCGCTGTGGGTTAAACCACAGAGCCTAGGACTTGCCGATCAGACAGTCGGTGGTTCGAATCCACGCGCCGGGGTGAGCTCCCGTTGCTCGGTCCCTGCTCCTGCCAACCTAGCAGTTTGAAAGCACGTCAAAATGCAAGTAGATAAATAGGTACCGCTCCAGCGGGAAGGTAAACGGTGTTTCCGTGCACTGTTCTGGTTCGCCAGAAGCGGCTTAGTCATGCTGGCCACATGACCCGGAAGCTGTACGCCAGCTCCCTCGGCCAGTAAAGCGAGATGAGCGCCGCAACCCCAGAGTCGGTCATGACTGGACTTAATGGCCAGGGGTCCCTTTACCTTTATTTACCTTGCAAGGACATATGAGTGGGGGAACAACTTAACATTCGACATTTATTCCCTCTCAGGATGCCATGTGGGCATTTAATAAAGGACACCTGAGTTCAAATTCTTACTCGGCCACAAAACTCACTGGGTAACCTTTGGGGCTAACATACCTCGCAAGGTTGTTGTTCAGGTCAAAGTAACAAAAAGTTAAAGGAAAGGACCCCTGGACAGTTAAGTCCAGTCAAAGGCAACTATGGGTGCGGCGCTCATCTCACTTTCAGGCCAAGGGAGCTGGTGTTTGTCCACAGACAGCTTTCTGGGTCATGTGGCCAGCAGGACTAAACCGCTTCTGGCACAACAGGACGCCGTGGCGGAGGCCAGAGCGCACAGAAACACCGTTTACCTTCCTGCCACAGCAGTACCTATCTATCTACTTGCACTGGTATGCTTTCGAACTGCTAGGTTGGCAGGAGCTGGGACAGAGCAACGGGAGCTCACCCCGTTGTGCGGATTCGAACCGCCAACCTTCTGATCAGCAAGCCCAAGAGGCTCAGTGGTTTAGACCACAGCACCACCTGCTCCCAATTCAGGTCAAAGTAGAGGAAGGATCACATATGCTACTCTGATCTTTTTTGGAGGAAAGGTAGAATAAACGTCTTAACTGTCTGCTACTTGAGCATCATAAATTTAACTTTCACAGGAATTTAGGAGTTTGCTTGGTTTAGATTTGCCTTGCTTTTCTCTTCCTACTTGGGGGAAAAAGCAGATTTTAGTCTTACCTGTTTCATATCTTCGTAGAACAAGAACAAAGTGTTTTTGTCATCGGTGTGTTTCTCCCAGCTTAAGACGTGATCAAACCAGGATCCGCAGACAACTAGAAAGGGAGAGCAAAAATGAGGTTGTTTTTGGAGGCATTTGCTGGACCAGCGTTCAAATCCCTCACTTAGCCTAACCTACCTCACAGGGCTGTCGTGAGCATAAAATGGGGCAGGGGAGAAAAATGTCCAACACCTAGCGCTCCTTGGAGGAAAGGCTGAGTGTAAATGTAATAAAATAAATACATAAATTTCCATGAACTCTGCACAGCCAGAAGGATGGAGTGAAATTCTCATACAAGAGAAGATAGGCCCTCCTAAAGATTATGTATAGCCACAGTCAAATTTTGGCTTCTTTCAGGCTGCCACCCATTCAGTACCCAGTCAGAGAGGTGGCTGGCATCTGTTTGTCTCGAGAGACAATGGAGTGAACCTCTGAGGGTGTAGTCAAATTGCTGCATTGTCAGTGTGTATGGAAGTCTTGGGATACCCAGACGACAAGACTCCCCTCTCGATCTTTCTGATGTGATTCAAAGGAAAGGAGAGCAAGACGTTTGGCACCAGCTTGGCTGCAGAAGTTGCCGGAAGGAGGCGTACAAGGCGCCATCCAACCTTCTTAGGGACTCTGCTTAGCCTTTTCTTCTCCCGAAGATATTCCACAAGGCAGTGGATGTTTGGGGTCAGGATTTCCTTCTCCTAGATGAATTCTCTTCCCAGGTTGATAAGCCCCATCTGCCCTTGACTTCCCTCTACGGCACATTCAGAAACTGCCTTCTTGACGATTGGGTTCTCTATTGGTCTTGCCCACTCAATCCACCAGTGTGGTGTAGTGGTTAAGAGCAGTAGTCTCGTAATCTGGGGAACTGGGTTCGCGTCTCCGCTCCTCCACATGCAGCTGCTGGGTGACCTTGGGTATGTCACACTTCTCTGAAGACTCTCACCCCCACTCACCTCACAGAGTGTTTGTTGTGGGGGAGGAAGGGAAAAGGAGAATGTTAGCCGCTTTGAGACTCCTTAGGGTAGTGATAAAGCAGAATATCAAATCCAAACTCTTCTTCTTCTACCAGAGAGGAGAGACAGATAAAAATAAAAAGTCTTGTCCTATAGTCTAGGACAAGAGTGAGGAACATGTCACCTTCCAGATGTTGTTGGACTATAATGTTGTTGGACTAATGATGTTGTCTCCAAGCACAATTCAAAGTGTTGGTGCTGACCTTTAAAGCCCTAAATGGCCTCGGCCCAGTATACCTGAAGGAGCGTCTCCACCCCCATTGTTCTGCCCAGACACTGAGGTCCAGCTCTGAGGGCCTTCTGGTGGTTCCCTCACTGCGAGAAGTGAGGTTACAGGGAACCAAGCAGAGGGCCTTCTTGGTAGTGGCACCCACCCTGTGGAACGCCCTCCCATCAGATGTCAAAGAGAACAACAACTACCAGACTTTTAGAAGACATTCCCTGTTTAGGGAAGCTTTTAATGTTTAACAGACCACTGTATTTTAATACTTTTTTGGAAGCCGCCCAGTGTGGCTGGGGAGACCCAGCCAGATGGGCGAGGTATAAATAATAAATTATTATTATTATTATTATTATTATTATTATTATTCCCATTATCCATACTGTCTGGGCCAGATTGAAATCATAGCACAGCAACATCTAGAGGGCCAAAGATTCCCCTGCCCTTTACACTTTCTCTGTTGCTGTGAAGAGTTACCAGTCCTCCAGGCAAGAGTATGGAACCTGCAGCCTTCCAGATGCAATTGGACTACAACTCCCATCATCCCTTACCATTGGCTGGTGCTGATGTGAACTGGAGTTCAGCAGCATCTATAAAAATAATAATGTGGGCAGGGGTGCTATTGTTTCTGTTTGTACTTACGGCATGTATTTTTGTGTTTTTATATAGCAAACCACCCTGTGATCTTCGGGTGAAGGGCAGCATAGGAATTTAATAAATAAAAATAAACATTCCCCAACTCTGCCTTAAATGGACCGGTTGTCTTATCCAGCTAAGTCCATTTATTGCATTTAAGTCAAATCAAGTCCACGATGGTACAAAAAGGAAGAAAGGAAGGCCTCTCAAGTCACACTTCAAATTACTATTTTGATCCTTATCCTACAAATCACAGCGTCAATTTGCGTTCCTTTGTTAATGACACCAATTCAATTTGTTGCTCGGTTGATCTTTGGATCTCCAGCTTTGTGGGAGCTTTTTTTTCTTTTTCTTTTTACAGCCATGCAGTAAAATGATGTGACCAATGTTTTGATAACAGGAACCAGGGCCTCATGCCCTTGACCTCAGCCGAGGGTTAATGCAGCTGCAATCAGAGTGTCTGCCTTGTGGTCTTCAGAACTTGGATCTGACATTCCAAAATAACCAACCTAAGGTAGGGGGATGGAAGTGAGAGCTGGACCATAAAGAAGGCCGATAGCTGAAGAACTGATGCTTTTGAATTATGGTGCCGGAGGAGACTCTTGAGAGTCCCATGGACTGCAAGAAGATCAAACCTCTCCATTATGAAGGAAATCAGCCCTGAGTGCTCACTGGAAGGACAGATCCTTAAGCTGAGGCTCCAATACTTTGGTCACCTCATGAGAAGAGAAGACTCCATGGAAAACACCCTGATGTTGGGAAAGATGGAGGGCACAAGGAGAAGGGGACGACAGAGGACGAGATGGCTGGACAGTGTTCTCGAAGAGACCAGCATGAGTTTGACCAAACTGCGATAGACAGTGGAAGACAGGAGTGCCTGGCGTGCTCTGGTCCATGGGGTCACAAAGAGTAGGACACGACTAAACAAAAGGTAGGGGGTTTCTACATATACAAGTCCAAAAACCCTCTAAGGACTTGGAGCTTCTGGGGAGCAAGCAGGAAACTGAAGCCAATAATCCAGCTGATGATCTCTTGGGAAACCAGGAGCATAAGGAACCCCTACTGGATCAGGCCAATGGCCCACCTGGTCTAGCATCCTGTTCTCACCTTGGCCAACCAGATGCCCGTGGGAAACCAGTTAGCAGGATCTGAGCACAAGAGCACTCACTCCTCCAGAGGTTTCCAACAACCGGTCTTCAGAAGCGTTTAACTTCCTCTCTCATTTGCAGCAATACAGCCAGCCACCAAGGAGGGGAAATTCGTATTATTTTCACTTGGGGGTTGTCACTACGCACTAGAGTTTGCAAGGTGAGAGAGAGGAAAGGTGCTATTCAGTCTTCTTACCGTCTCCTCTTAAGAACATCTCCAGGAAAACAGGCCAGGAATCAACGGTGGGGAGGTTTGGATTGTCTCTGTAATAATGATACATGGAAACCGCAATGTCTTTTGGGTTTCTGATGATGTAGATAGCCTGCAAATGAAGACAACACGTTAATAAGGCAGTGACATTGAAAGGTGCTCTATTACCAATGGGAAGGCCAATGGGAAGCTGCTCAGTTAGAGTGAATGGGGCTTCGCCCCCACCACCCTCAATGCCCCACCTGCCTGCCTTCTTACAACCAGTCAGGGAGTAGATCTGCCTAACATTGACTATGGAGCCACCAATTTCTGGTCTCCCTAGCACAGGGGTAGGCAACCTAAGGCCCATGGCCCACAAATGGCCCCCAGGGGTCGTTTAACCAGCCCACGAGCAGCCCCCGAACCGAGCCACCCGTTCGATGAGTCCCTGCACGCTGCGCTAAACCAGCACACCTAAGCGAGGTGCGAGGACTCGCTTCCATGGCACCGGAAATCATGTCTGTGCATGCGCAGATGCTGGAAATCGCATTTGCGCAGTTGTAGACTCCAGAAATCGTGGGGGTGCATGTGATCCAGCCCATAGAGAGATCTCCGCTGGAGTGAACCGGCCCAGGTGAGGTAAACCTTGCAGACCCCTGCCTAGCATCCGCCATATCGGTCTCAAGGTGCACCAGCCACCAGCTAGTGCTCAATATGATCTCTACACACACACACACACACACACACACACACACACACAACCTTGTGTGGTTGGACTACAAGTCCCATCATCCCCAATCAGTGCTGAAGACTATACTGACTAGTGGTGAGTTTTGGAGACTTGGAGCTGCCAGGAATTGATCTTGGGACTTCCTGCAAGGCAAAGTGTGAATTCTACTGCTGGGCTACTGTCTTCCCCCCAAATCACAGCAGAGATAAGTTTCATTCAAAGCAAACCTGTTGAAATGATTGATCATAGCTAAGGGCTCATCCAGACTTGTGCCACAAGTTGTGCGTGCAGGCACATGCTTCTCAGCGACAGGTCCAAGCGTTTGGGGGTTTTCGTCCCACCAAGAAATCCTACTGTTTACCACTGAATTGGAATAAACGTCAATCAGGGTTTTTTGCAGGTTTATGTTTGTTCCAATTCAGCAGTAAATGGCAGGTTTTCCCCAGGGAAAGCAGAGTGACCTGACTCAGACCCTGGAAAGCACAGGCGTGCACCTACAAATCAGGGCACAAAATGAAGTATGGCTGAGCCCTTAGTCCTGATCATAGAATCATCGATTCATTGAATTGTAGAGTTGGAAGGGATCATGAGAAACATCTAGTCCAGCCCCCAGCCCCCTGATCATTCATTTCAGTGGGTCTACCCTGAGTAAAAAAGGGACACGGGTGGCGCTGTGTGTTAAACCACAGAGCCTAGCTAGGACTTGGCGATCAGAAGGTCGGTGGTTCGAATCCCCACGACGGGGTGAGCTCCCATTGATCGGTCCCTGCTTCTGCCAACCTAGCAGTTCGAAAGCACGTCAAAGTGCAAGTAGATAAATAGGTACCACTGTGGCAGGAAGGTAAACAGCGTTTCCGTATGCTGCTCTGGTTTGCCAGAAGCAGCTTAGTCATGCTGGGCACATGACCCGGAAGCTGTACGCCGGCTCCCTCGGCCAATAAAGCGAGATGAGCGTCGCAACCCTAGAGTTGGCCACGACTGGACCTAATGGTCAGGGGTCCCTTTACCTTTTACCCTGAGTAAAACTTAGCTTGAATACCACCCACGGTTTTCCATTAACATATTGTTACAGCTAGGGTTCCAGAGTCTGTTAAGGAACAATGAGGAACAAAGTACAGTGGTACCTCGGAAGTTGAACACCTTGTGAGTCAAATGTTTTGGCTCCCGAATGCCGCAAACCCAGAAATGATTGTTCTGGTTTGTGAACGTTCTTTTGGAACCCGTACATCTGATGGGGCTTCCGCAGCTTCTGATTGGCTGCAGGAGCTTCCCGCAGCCAAATGGAAGCCGTGAGTTGGTTTTCGAATGTTTTGGAAGTTGAACGGACTTCTGGAACGGATTCCGTTTGACTTCCAAGGTACAACTGTATTGAGCCATTAAGGACCACTGGCAATGCAAAAGAACTGTCTCACCCCCACCCCCAGAGGTGTAAAGAAACAGGAGAATTGGCAGGTGGCCAAGGTGACAGGGGCATGATGTCACAGGAAAAGTTGTCCTTTTTGAAAGCTCAAGGTTTGCTGGGAAGGAATGGGGCAGAATTCAATGGGGTGCTGTGTAGGCGAGAAGCAGAGGCAGCTTGTGGGATGGCTCTGAATGCAACGCCAGGGAGCGAGGAAGGACAAACTGCTCCTGCTGTAAGCTCTGCACTCCCTTCATCTGCATTCAAGTTGTAAATAGGTTTTAATAAATGCGGTTTTAAATAGGTTTTAATAAATTTCTAAGACCCACGTACCTACGGGACCACCTCTCCTGGTATGCCCCGTGGAGGACCTTAAGGTCCACAAATAACACTTTGGAGGTCTCAAGCCTCAAGGAGGTTAGGTTGGTTTCAACTAGGGCCAGGGCCTTTTCAGCACTGGCCCCGACGTGGTGGAACGCTCTGTCACGAGAGACTAGGGCTCTGCGGGACTTGACATCTTTCCGCAGGGCCTGCAAGACAGAGCTGTTCCGCTTGGCCTTTGGCTTGGACTTGGTCTGACCCTTATGTTTTCCTCCCCTTATGGTCTTGATTTATCGGCTACTTTAAAATGAGGCTGCATTTTAAATTGCATTTTAACCTGTATTTTAAATTGGTTCCCCCCACTTTCCTCCTATTATGTTTTTACTGTGATTTTATTGGTGTTAGCCAGGGAGGGCGGGGTATAAATAAAAATTATTATTATTATTATTATTATTATTATTATTATTATTATTATATTTCAACAATAATGCAGACTCTGCTGCGCCTTATTTCTCCCTTGAAGACGAAGACGCAGATCCTGGTTGAGGGCCAAGACCCGAGGAATCTCATGCACTGCTCAGCAGAGTTTGGGGAGGCTTGTAAAAATATCATTTTGAGATCAAGATGCGTACCTAGCTGCAAAACCAGGGCTGCCTACCAGATTTCACTGGGCGGCTCATTCGGGAACCTTTTTATTTATTTATTTCCTCCCCAGTGCCTGAAATAATACCCTGCCCATATCTCACCTTGCATTGCTTGAGTGTAAAATCAGGTGGCAGCATGTTGCCGTCCAAATGGGTTGGAATGATTCTCTTGCCTGAAAGACGGTCCAGTTGATCCAGTTTGGAAAGATCTCCAAATTCAATTGGGGGTGTTAAAGACACTCTGGGTGCGTAGAGGTGCATGAGGATTTCGGCAAGCCAGTGAGTGCCTGCGGGAGAGGAGAAAAGAAAGGGAAAAAAGCATGAACAATACAGTGGTACCTCGGGTTAAGAACCTACCGTATTCTTTGCTCTATAAGACCCACTTTTTCCCTCCTAAAAAGTAAGGGGAAATGTGTGTGTGCGTCTTATGGAGCGAATGCAGGCTGCGCAGCTATCCCAGAAGCCAGAACAGCAAGAGGGGTTGCTGCTTACACTGCGCAGCGATCCCTCTTGCTGTTCTGGCTTCTGAGATTCAGAATATTTTTTTACCTGTTTTCCTCCTCCAAAAACTAGGTGCGTCTTGTGGTCTGGTGCGTCTTATAGAGCGAAAAATACAGTAATTCATTCCGGAGCTCCGTTCTTAACCTGAAACTGTTCTTAACCTGAAGCACCACTTTAGCTAATGGGGCCTCCCACTGCCGCTGCGCCACCAGAGCACAATTTCTGTTCTCATCCTGAAGCAAAGTTCTTAACCTGAGGTAATATTTCTGGGTTAGTGGAGTCTGTAACCTGAAGCGTATGTAACCCAAGGTACCTCTGTACCGGCAAAGTGTTGAATATATATGGCTTGATAAACTGGGTGATGAAGGTTATGTACACAGGAGGACCATAAACGGTCTAATTGCCAAGGATAAGAAATAATTGCCTCCAGATTGAGGCAGATTGAGGACAAGGAACCTTAGTGGGTTTATTTTGAAGATGCTCCTCTCTAAAGAGCAATGAAGCTGATGAAACCCGAAGTAAAAGGATGGGTTTGTTTGACTAGCAACTTTGGATCTGGTTGATTTCATTTCTGAAGAAGAGAAGGGGGGAAATTCTGAATGCTGGAATTTGCTCCACAAGAGAAAGAAGCAAGGTTTTGCAGGCTCTTTGGTTTTTAAAGGGCTCCCTGTACGTTTACTGATAGTGGGAGCTCATCCTGTCCTAACTGGGAAGGGATATGGTTCCTAAACGCACACCCCCCCTTGGGGCAGGAGGAGAACATTCCTCAAACCGCAGTGGACGTGAGGGTGCTCCTCAAAATTACTGTACAAAAGAAACCTTGCAAGTCACTTGCAATAGCTCAGTACCAACTAGGGAGAGGTAGATCTGTCAGTTTCAGTTTCTATCCGTTTCTCATTTTTCCACTCTTTTGAGTTCAGTTCTCCACATCAATTTGCCATTTTTAAGCCTCACAGCGACTCCACAGCCGTGCCTCTGTTATCTGTGTGGCATGGTGGCTAATTTATTGTCTGGCACAGATCTGCAGACAGTTCTGCATTTTCCCTTCGTATCCCAAGGTAAAAGTAAAAGGACCCCTGACCGTTAGGTCCAGTTGCAGACAACTCTGGGGTTGCGGCGCTCATCTCGCTTTATTGGCCAAGGGAGCTTCCGGGTCATGTGGCCAGCATGACTAAGCCGCTTCTGGCGAACCAGAGCAGCGCACGGAAACACCGTTTACCTTCCTGCCGGAGCGGTACCTATTTATCTACTTGCACTTTGACGTGCTTTCGAACTGCTAGGTTGGCAGGAGCAGGGACCGAGCAACTGGAGCTCACCCCATGGCGGGGATTTGAACCTCCGACCTTCTGATCAGCAAGCCCTAGGCTCTGTGGTTTAGACCACAGTGCCACCCGCATCCCAAACATTATCTAAATACTACTGTTTATTAGTTTCTAATATTTGCTAACCCAAGGTTATCTTCTGGCAGGATATCGTAGGAAATCTCACAAGATCTCACGCAAGATCTCGCTGAAATCCCACAAGCTCGGGCAGCAGAGGCAGCGCACTTTGCCTCATTAGTGAGCAGGAACCTGCCGCCCTGAGGCCTCACTGCACCTCATGGTTGGTGTACTCATGGAAACCTGCTTTGCTGAATCTTTTTTTAAAGGCTGTTCCCGCACCAGACTACTTCAGGGCTAAAAGAAGAATGAACATATATACTGCCATCAATTATTCTACCTGGCCTTTAACATGGTATGCTTTTGCCCAGTGTTTCCCAGACTTGGGTCTCCGGCTGTTTTTGGACCACAATTCCCATCATCCATAGCTAGCAGGACCAGTGGTCAGGGATGGTGGGAACTGTAGTCCAAATACAACTGGAGACCCAAGTTTGGGGAACACTCTTTTAGCCCATCTTACCTAGCATCCTGTTCTCACAGTGGCCAGTGAGATACTTATGGGAAGCTAATAATAATAATAATAATAATAATAATAATAATAATAATAGCAAATCCTGAGCGCAACAGCAATCTTTGTACCAGCAATGCTCAGAAACTGGAAAAGCATTGTGTCTCTGACCCAGTGGAAGTAGAGTGTTGTCATCATGGAGTCATTGATTGACTCTATGAACAAAGTTTGTTAATCGCATCCGACAATTGACAGTGAGGCCAATGACTTGCATGATTAACTCATGAGTCCTTAAAGCTGCCCATTAATGTTTGAGTTGATTAATTGCACACTTACTCAGCAATTAAGTCTTCCAGCTGACTAATCCAGTCATACCAGGGGTTGGGGTGGGGGAGTAAAGTCAAGTTTTTTTAAAAAAAAAAACCTTTCCTAGAGGATTCACAACAAATACAGATTCAATACAAAGGATATTTTGCACATTAACTACCAGCCCTAATGGTCTCGTGATCCCACCATGAGTCGTCAAAAACCAGATCTGATTGGGACATAGGAGGCTACTCTCAAAGACAGCCAGTATTCCTGTAGACGGAACTATACGGGACTATATTATAAGAACTGTTACCTTAAGAACAGGTGTAACAATCTGCATTTTTCCTCCTCCCTCCCCATCTCTTTTTCCTCTTGTGCCGTGTATTTTAAATTGTAAGCTTGAGGCGTAGGGACTATCTCGCTACTGATTTTTGAAAGCTGCACTGGGAAGGCTTTTTGGCAAAAGAGCGTCATGTAAATGCTTTAAATAAATAAACAAACAAATGAGACCACCGCAGCTCTTTCTGGTTTAGTTTTGGTATCGCTTCTCTGAGTCAAGCTTTCATGGGGGGCAGTGGCAGAAGAGCAAGCAGTTTATGGGGTACACCCTTAAGATGGATCTCAATCCCACTTTCTCTCTTCTCCGCTTCTCTCTCTCTCTCGCTCACACAGAATTTTTTATTCTAGTTAACTAAGCCTGGAATAATAAGGCGTAGATTAGGATTCTTTCCCCATTCCAAATCAAGCGAGACTTTACCAGACTTTGGGTACGAAACCAAAAGGATGTCATCTTCTCTAGCGTCAAATGTGTCCAGGGATTTCAAGAGCTCGGGTGAAGTCCTGATGGTGAAAGTGATGCCATTGAAAGTGTGCATGAGATCGTCTTCACTGCGCGACGACATCTGGTGTCTTGGGGGTGGTCTCAGTCGAACTGGACGCTTCTTCCCAAACCAGGAGAGAAGGAAACCTCTGGCCAGCCGAGCAATTATTAGCAGCGACTGAGCAAGAAAGGAGCTGGAAAAGACCCATTTATGCACTTTGTAACATCTCGAAGAGGCATTTGGGGGCTTATCTTTATGGATTACAATAAATGCAAAGCAACAGAAAGGTTATCCAGATAAACAGCAAATCCGGGAGGTGGTTCACTGAAACTTGGCTTCTGGCACAGAAATGAGCGAAAACGCAACAGTGGAAAATAACCAGGATTGTAATTGCACAAATGATTGCGGTGCACTCATTAACAAATGGGGCTCTTGGTGTGAGTGGCGTGTTGTTAATGAGTTCCTAATGAGCGTGTGTGTGTGTCCTTAATAGCACCATAGCTCTGTAGAAATGCACTGTGTTCTCTCCCGTCACAGTAAATCCTGAAGGAGGAAATGAAGTTGGAGAATTTGTGGTGCCCAGCGGCAAGCGCACTCTCCTGCAGGGTCGTAGCTCGGTGGCACAGCACCTGCTTTTGGTAGGCAGGTCCCAGGCTCAGCCCCCAGCATCTCCAAGCCTGGAGAGATGCTGCCAGTCAGTGCAGACAGTATGGAGCTAGATGGACCCAATGGAGTCAATACAAAGTATTTTCCTAATTTCAAAGGATGTGACTGCTGCCCAGGATAGCATTGAGGGCAGATCTCAATGAAAAAAAATAAGCAGCGTAGATAACTGAAACTGCCAATTTTGCCCATCCCTAGTCAGCGAGGATAGGAGCCTACACTCCAACAATTCTCTGATGAAAAGAAGGATGTCCTATTCTATTATTATTATTATTATTATTATTATTATTACGCCCATCTGACTGAGTTGCCCCAGCTGAGTTGCCCCGTTCCGGAGCCCCATTCGCATCCTGAACAAAACGTAAGACATGATTGCGCGTCTGCGCGTGCGCGGGTTGCATTTTGCCACTTCCGCGCATGCCGTGACATCATCTTGACAGTCTGCGCATGCGCGAGCAGTGAAATCCGGAAGTAATGTGCTCCGTTACTTCCGGGTCTCGCAGAGCGCAATCTGGAAATACCGTATTTTTTGCTCTGTAAGACTCACTTTTCCCCTCCTAAAAAGTAAGGGGAAATGTGTGTGCATCTTATGGATCTCTGAAGCCAGAAGAGCAAGAGGGATCGGTACGCACCAATCCCTCTTGCTCTCCTGGCTTCGGGGATAGCCCCGCAAAGCCTCTTGAGGGCAGCCGGAGTGCTCCTGCCTCTTTGCTCAGGAGGCTTTGCATTGCTTTCTTGTTTTCCTTCTCAAAAAACTAGGTGTGTCTTATGGTTGGGTGCGTCTTATAGAGCAAAAAGTATGTTACTTATCCTGAAGCGTAGCACTGTGGGTTAAACCACAGAGCCTAGGACTTGCCAATCAGAAGGTCAGCGGTTCGAATCCCTGCAACAGGGTGAGCTCCCGTTGCTCGGTCCCTGCTCCTGCCAACCTAGCAGTTCAAAAGCACGTCAAAGTGCCAGTAGATAAATAGGTACTGCTCCAGCGGGAAGGTAAACGGCGTTTCTGTGTGCTGCTCTGGTTCGCCAGAAGCGGCTTAGTCATGCTGGCCACATGACCTGGAAGCTGTACACCGGCTCCCTTGGCCAATAAAGCGAGATGAGCGCCGGTCACGACTGGACCTAATGGTCAGGGGTCCCTTTACCTTTACATGACTGTAAAAACATAATAAAACACTAAACATTTTAAAACCTCCCTATACAAGGCTGCCTTCATATGGCTCGGGGGTCAGATAACTCCACAGGGACTTCCTACCATCTCCTCCAACACTTCTCCAATGAAAATAGGGATGTCCTAAGGAAAAGCGGGACATTCTGGGATCAAATCAGAAACCAGGATGACTTCTGTAAATTCAGGACTATCCCTGGAAAATAGGGAGACTTGGAGAGTCTGAAGCACAACCTTTTAAGCAGTGCTATTTCTCTAGAAAAAGAAGTGCCAGAACTCACCACGAATACCTCTCTTGTTAGAATGGCAATGGTGCCCACCTGAGAGGTGCGGGAACTGAGTTCCAGCTGAAAAAAAGCCCTGCTTTTAAGCCTACATTTCCTGGCATTTGCCCTGCAATTCCTCTCTTCCCTTCCAGTGAAGCAGGTTGTTGGTGCCAAATTCTGGGGGCCCCTGAAGGTAAGGTAAGCTTAGAAGTTGGGTCCAACATCAAAAAGTTGGAGAAAGACTGATGGAAGGGCATTCAGTTCAATGAGATGTCTTCATCCTAATCAGACACTTGCTAATCTGCAATACTGCAATCATGCCACCGTGTTCCCATTAGTTTTGCATAATGTACTAAACGGAGGAGGAAATACGTGTGAAGTCCGAGATAAAGAACAGTAGCTTTACAATGCCAGGGCAACTTCATGTCTGGATTCAGGTGAATTCCATAAACTCCTCTTTCAGGAAGAAGGAGATGAATTGTGTCCCTAAAACTGCACTAGGCCAGAATTTCTCAAATCTTAAGTTGTGGGTGAACATATCAGACGACACAGCGATTCTTCAAACAGCTCTTGTTTATTCACAGGCCAGAACAGAACTGTACTGAAGGGTTCAGCCAGCCTGCTTATATAGAGCTCCACTACAATGCAACTGTAACCATTTTCTGTAACTATCCAATCACTGAACGTTACTTTCAATCCCCTATTTGCATATGTGGACCTGAGTGAAAACTATCTACAGTATCCCCCTGCTGGCCCAGGGTGAGAACTTCAGTACATAACCCCAAACCTTTGATATTGAGCCGTGCTTTAAAATAAATAAATAAATTGTAAGTATGCACCACTCTTATATCCAAGACATTTAAAAATAAAATGGAGAGTCTCAATTAAAGCAGAATTGGGGAACGTTCAAGACAACTCCTATGGGGGGCAAATCCCTTGTAGGGGTTCAGGTATGGAGGTTTACATCAAATTCCCAATCAACCAGATTTTATTACAGGAAAGAGTCCAAAGAGTCTGCAAGAGCGTTTCCATCAGGACAAAATTATATAGACAAATATACAGCATCTTTCCCAAAGGACCAGAGGAAACTGTTCATGTACGCGACAACAGCCGCTCGGATGTTACTAGCCCAGAGATCAAAGGAAGAAACAACCCAGACCAGAGAAGAATGGCAAACCAAGTTGATGGACTATGCTGAAATGGCAAAACTAACTGGGAAGCTCAGCAACCAAGAAGACAAGAAATTTCAAAAAGAATGGGAAATGCTTATAACGTATATACAAAATTATTGTAAACAGGTCAAAACATTAGCAGGATTTTAAACACACTTGTAACATAATGTATAGATAACCTTTGTTGTTGTTTAGTCGTTTAGTCGTGTCCAACTCTTCGTGACCCCATAGACCAGAGAACGCCAGGCACTCCTGTCTTCCACTGCCTCCCGCAGTTTGGTCAAACTCATGCTGGTAGCTTCGAGAAAATTGTCCAACCATCTCGTCCTCTGTCGTCCCCTTCTCCTCCTTGTGCCCTCAATCTTTCCCAACATCAGGGTATTTTCCAGGGAGTCTTCTCTTCTCATGAGGTGGCCAAAGTATTGGAGCCTCAGCTTCAGGATCTGTCCTTCCAGTGAGCACTCAGGGCTGATTTCCTTAAGAATGGGTAGGTTGCATCTTCTTGCAGTCCATGGGACTCTCAAGAGTCTCCTCCAGCACCATAATTCAAAAGCATCAATTCTTCAGCAATCAGCCTTCTTTACAGTCCAGCTCTCACTTCCATACATCACTACTGGGAAAACCATAGCTTTATCTATACGGACCTTTGTTGGCAAGGTGATGTCTCTGCTTTTTAAGATGCTGTCTAGGTTTGTCATTGCTCTAAAAAACAACAACTGGAGAAGCATTGATATGCAATTGAAAATAGGATCAATGGGACCCATGGAAGGGATGGGGGGAAGTCAGGAGATTCAGAGTAATCTCAATAATTAGATTCAGAATTCATTTTGTTGTATGTTTATGTTTTGGAAAATCAAATAAAAATTTGTTTTTTTAAAAAAATAAGACAAATACACAGCATCTTAGCTGTTCATCCAACCACTTCCTGCCACCCCAGCACTTCACCATCTCACTTCCAGCAGCAGTCCAGGAAATACAATTTACTCAATCCATTTTGTACTATACATGTCAGAACCCTCCTTGTACCTTATAGGGAGTTGTTTGTTCAATTTAACCGTCAGCCATCAGTTTCCCCTTTATGTGGTTCTTACCGTTCCCTGTGTGGGACGTGGGTGGTGCTATGGGTTAAACCACAGAGCCTAGGACTTGCCGATCAGAAGGTCGGCAGTTCGAATCCCCGCCATGGAGTGAGCTCCCGTTGCTCCGTCCCAGCTCCTGCCCACCTAGCAGTTCGAAAGCACATCAAAGTGCAAGTAGATAAATAGGTACCGCTCCGGCAGGAAGGTAAACGGCATTTCCATGCACTGCTCTGGTTCGCCAGAAGCGGCTTCGTCATGCTGGCCACATGACCTGGAAGCTGTACGCCAGCTCCCTCGGCCAATAAAGTGAGATGAGCGCCGCAACCCCAGAGTCGGTCACAACTGGATCTAATGGTCAGGGGTCCCTTTACCTTTACCTATACCGTTCCCTGTGGTCAGGCCACCTGCTTGCATACACGCCACTGGCCACACTAATAATGGGCCTTGTAGTTTTAGAGTTAGGCTCCATTTTACTCCACAATTTTACACCCTTTTAATCCATGACGCTGTCCCTGCCCGGACCACAGTTTGGTTCGCTGAGCTTCAGCAAAGCAAAGGGAGGCAAGGAAGGAAAAGCAGCTCTTTGAGCAACGCCACATCTGCAGAATTTTGCCACAGGCTTACAGCACAGCGGCAACTGTTTCTGTTTGAAGGATGGAGGCAAGGAACATCTGCTCCCAAGCAGATCCACCACATGGCTTCGATTACAATTGACAGGTATACTTGCTCCCAGGTGTGGAACCTGGCAGGTATCAGCGGCTGAAATATTATGGAAAGCGCCAGAAGTGGAGGGGAAATAGGAGCTACGAGTGACTTTTGTTTTGCTGATGGAAAACATCTTAAGCTTAGACATGCGTATTATGGGACCGTTATAGATCCATTGAGCGTCAGAGGGACCCAACACTCATCTCCTGGTGGTGTTGACAGGCCCTCGGTCATAGCAGATGACGTAGGTTTATCCACGTGAGTTTGTGATGAGATCTTTGTTTACTGTCTCTGTTTCGGATTTCATGTTTCATAAAGGCCTGGGAGAAAATAGGGGAGTGACTAAATATAAGAAGTTAAAGGTGAGACCACTCTGGGCAGTCTTAGCAACTGTTGTTCTTAAGGAAAAGGGAAAAGGGAATCATTTTAAAATACAGTGATACCTCAGGTTAAGAACTTAATTCGTTCTGGAGGTCCGTTCTTAACTGGAAACTGTTGTTAATCCGAAGCATCACTTTAGCTAATGGGGCCTCCCACTGCCGCCGCACCACCGCCGCACAATTTCTGTTCTTATCCTGAAGCAAAGTTCTTAACCCGAGGTACTATTTCTGGGTTAGCGGAGTCTGTAACCTGAAGCGTCTGTAACCCAAAGTACCACTGTACAGAATTTGGCACTTTTGTTTTTGCTATTTATTTTGCGTTTTTGTTTTCAAGGCTTTTTCAGTTAATTAGTTTTTGTGACTGTGTGGAACCTAGTTCAGCCATTGATTGATTGATTGTGTAACTGCGGAAATGGATAAAATCCCTCCATCCAAACAACAACTATCATCAGTCCAGGTAAGAAAAAAATAATAACTTTTTTATCATATACAATACTGTCTTATTTATTTTATAGTACAGTACATTGATTATTGCTTTCATTTTATGGATCAATGGTCTCATTAGATAGTAAAAAAAGGTAAAGGTAAAGGACCCTTGACAGTTAAGTCCAGTCGCGAACAACTCTGGGGTTGCAACGCTCATCTCGCTTTACTGGCCGAGGGAGCTGACGTTTGTCCGCAGACAGTTTTTCTGGGTCATGTAGCCAGCATGACTAAGCCACTTCTGGCAAACCAGAGCAGCGCACAGAAACACCGTTTACCTTCTCGCCAGAGCAGTACCTATTTATCTACTTGCACTGGCATGCTTTTGAACTGCTAGGTTGGCAGGAGCTGGGACTGAGCAAGAGGAGCGCACCCCGTCACGGGGATTCAAACCACCGATCGGCAAGCCCTAGGCTCAGTGGTTTAGACCACATTGCCACCCGTGTCCCTTTAGATAGCTGTTTTAGGCTTTGTTTTTAAAAGTCTGTAACGGATTAATCCGTTTCTATGGGAAAGGGCGCCTTTGTTTTGGAACGTTTTGGTTTTGGAATGGACTTCTGGAATGGATTAAGTTTGAGAACCAAGATACCACTGAAGCAGTAGTACCACTCTATTCTGCCTTGGTCAGACCACACCTGGAATACTGTGTCCAGTCCTGGGCACCACAATTTACAGATGATGACAAGCTGAAACATGGGCAGAGAAGGGCAACCAAGATGATAAATGGTCTGGAAACCAAGCCTTATGAGGGAGTTAGGAATGTTTAGCTTGGAGAAAAGGAGACTGGGAAATGATATGATCACCATCTTCAAATATCTAAAGGGTGGTCACATGGAAGACGTGATTTCTGCTGCTCCAGAGGGTAGGACCCAAACCAACAGATCCAAGTTACAAGAAAGGAGATTCCAACTAACATTAGGAAGAACTTTCTGATGGTAAGAGATGTCCAACAATGGAATGCACTGCCTTGGAAGGTGCTGAACCCTCCGTGTTTGTGTGTGTGTGTGTGTGTGTGTGTGTGTGTGTTAAACAGAGGTTGGCTGCCCATATATCAGGGATTATTTGGCTGTAATCCCTGCATTGCAAGGAGTTGGACTAGTTGACCCTTGGAGTTCCTTCCAGATGAGCAATTCTATGAATAATAATAATAATAATAACAATAATTTTATTATTTATATTCCACCCATCTGGCTAGGTTTCCCCAGCCACTCTGGGCAGCTTACAGCACATTTTTTAAAATGTAAAACATTAGACATTTAAAATTTCCCAATACAGGGCTGCTTTCAGAGGTCTTCTGAAAGTCAGATAGTTGTTTATTTCCTTGTCATCTGATGGGAGGGTGTTCCACAGGGCGGGCACCACTACCAAGAAGGCCCTCTGCTTGAATCTATGAATTAATGAGGGGGGGGGGGAATGCATTTGAAAATTATCTAAAGAGGAAAGTTCTTTTTTTTTATGAAGTTCACTCCAGCCTTATTTTCCAAGTGGTCAAGGACTGTTGTTGAGTAAGGAAGCGTGAATTTGTCTATTTTAGTGCAAATTTCTCTGAATATAAACATCTTTGTGGGCAACCTTCTGCAAAGCAATTTCCCCATATATAATGTATTTTCCAATGCAGGAAATAGGAAAACGAACCATTTCCCTACTTTGATTGGGGCAGCCTTCATGCTAACAGTGAATTTAGTGTTCCTAGTGTGGACCATTATGGGGCCAAAATGACATTATCCATACTTGAGATGGGGAAGACCTAGGGAACTCTGAAACTTTGTAAAAGGAGAAAGGAGGGAGAGAGGGAAAGAAGCAACCGTCCCACACTTACAACTTCGGGATTTTGCATAATCTTTCTGACTGAAATGCAAGCACTCTCCTTAATTCACCAGCTGATTAGTTTTACGATGGATGAAAAGCAATTAACCCTGGCTGTGTACAATAGCACTTCCTCCTCTTCCCAAACAATCAAATGTTTGCACAGATACGAGTAAATCACATTATCTGACTGCTTTAACATATTCAAATGAGTTTTAGGATTGCCACGGGACTAGGGGGCTCGATGCCTGCCACCTAGTGGCCAACAACCTCTTCCTGTAGTCTCAGTCTAGGAGAACCTGTGACCTTCTAGACCAGGCTTCCTCAAACTCAGCCCTCCAGATGTTTTGGGACTACAACTACCATGTTCCCTAGCTAACAGGACCAGTGGTCAGGGATTATGGGAACTGTAGCCCCAAAACCTCTAGAGAGCCGAGTTTGCCTGCCTGTAAATCTAGACGTTGTTGAGACCAACCAGTATGGCCAATAAGCAGGGATTCTGGGAATTGCAGTCCGGCAACCTCTCCTAGCCAAGGGAAGATGGAAATGCAGTCAGGCCAAGGCATCATACAGAGATGCAGTGGGCACACTCCTCTGTGATGTATACAGATAAGAGTTTAATTATTCAGTTGTGGATTTGGATGAGGGGTTTTCCCCCTTTTCTTTGCAGCATTCTAGGAGCTGGACCATAAAGAAGGCTGATCGCCGAAGAATTGATGCTTTCGAATTATGGTGCTGGAGGAGACTCTTGAGAGTCCCATGGACTGCAAGAAAATCAAACCTCTCCATTCTTAATGAAATCAGCCTTGAATGCTCACTGGAAGGACAGATCGTGAAGCTGAGGCTCCAGTACTTCGGCCACCTCATGAGAAGAGAAGACACCCTGGAAAAGACCCTGATGTTGGGAAAGATGGAGGGCCCAAGGAGAAGGGGACGACAGAGGACGAGATGGTGGGACAGTGTTCTCGAAGCTACCAACATGAGTTTGACCAACTGCGGGAGGCAGTGGAAGACAGGAGTGCCTGGCGTGCTCTGGTCCATGGGGTCACGAAGAGTCGGACACGACTAAACGACTAAACAACAACAACAGGAGCTCTTTCGCAGCACTCTCATGTGCCTGTCACACAACATGGGGATCATGTAGAGGGGGGGAAATGTCAAAGGAAAATCTGGCACGGGAGTTGACCACACAAAGTTCCCCCCTGCTTTCCTTCTTCTTGTTTGAAGGTGAACCACGTTGGTGTGTCGTTTGTGGCTGATGCGATTCCAAAGGCAGGACCGGGTTCATTTGACCTATCTCTTCCCTCACTGTTCTTTCTGATGTGTGAAATTGCAGCTGCGCAGGACAAAGCAGGCGACTGTATTCTGGTAAACAAGCCTGGCTGATCCATTAAGAGGCTCCTTGCTTAGTTCTGATCAATTGCCGCCAACATCTTCAATGTTCCCTGCAGGAAGGAGATCGAGATGAGACAAATCTCGTCTGTATTTCACTTTGTTAACGGAGAAATCTGAGGGCTCCCTTGGACAAAAAAACAAGGACACCAGCCAGGAGTACCAGAGCAAAACAGCCGCCAGTAGGCTTGGTCTTTATTGAAGACTGTCGCGACAGGACTCCCACCTGCCACCAGGTGAAACAAAATGGAAGACCCCAACTTTTATTAGTTACTAATCCCCCAAACTACACCCCTAGAACTACATCACAATTACATCATGACTACATCATTGAAACATCACAAAAAGGAGGGGTCGAGGGAGGAGTTGTGGAGGTAACCTGAGTATCTTGTCACCTGGCTGGTTCCTCCTCTCCCCCTCCCCATGAGTCATTTCCAGAGGACAAAAGGGAGTTGGCAGTTTCCTGCCCCCAGAGGGAAGATCTGATCATTGCCCTTTGTTCCAGTCTGTGTTGAATCCACTTCCATATGCAAGTTCTTTGTGACCTTGATGGTCTTCTGTCTAGGACCATCAGGGCTGGCATAGCAACTGGGTAGGGCTCCTGTGTATGTGCTGGTATGCTCAAGGGATTATGGCTGGCCTGTATCAAACCTTCCCCATTTTGTAGTCCTTCCTTCATGGAGTAAAATAAAAGTGGAACGGTGCAGATCCGATGTATGGTTGATTTTCTATGAATTTATAACAGAAGCGTAGCTTATGTCGTGTGTGAGAGAGAGAGTGTGTGTGTGTGTGTGGTGTGTGTGTGTGTGTGTGTGAGTGTGTGTGTGTCGAGTTTGTACAAACTGAATGATTGGGGGGGGGTTCCTGCGACAACCTGGCTCTCCTCTGACAGATGTGTTAGGAGCAGAGACACAATTGCATTACAACAGCTCCCTCTTTACTCACCAATGCACCCATGCCTGTTCTCGCTCTCTTTCCTTGTGACTACTGTGGCACAGAAAACCAGTAAGATGGTTTTCTTAATGGTGCATCACACCGTCATTGCGATTTCATGGAGGTGCATATCTCGCTCAGCGATTGCTCAGAATATTCACCCAACATCGAAGGAAGTGTGGGGTTATCAGACCCCACCCCACCCCACCCAGAGACCGCCCCTATCTAAATTATAATGCACTGCTTGTGATTGGCTTAGCTGCTGTGATGTCAGAGAGAAGCAGGAGGGAGAGAAGATCTCTGGGCTGCCGTAGGAAGCTACCTTACTCTACCCCAAGCTCATTGGTCCCTCTAGTTCAGTAGAGTCTTCTCCAGGGGTGGCTGACCAACAGACCCTCATATGTTGTCAGGATCCAACTCTCATCAGCTCCAGCTAGAAGGGTCAATGGACGGGGTGATGGGAGTCGCCTCGGGGAGCATAGGTTAGCCATCCTGGTCTACTCCAACAAGCAACAGCTCTCCACATTCTTTTGCAAAGGTCTTCCTGACCCAGTTGTGATCCTTTTAAATAGAAGTAGGATGGATGAGACCTAAGGCCTTCTGTACAGTAACTTGAACCAGCGGAGATTCCACTAAACACCAGGAAGTGTCAGGAGTTCAGCCTACACTCGAGTAGGACCCTGGCAGAGACACGTGCCCGACTGGCATGTTCTCTCCCTCCTGGTCGATCATTCGGGAGCTTCATAAGCTTTCTTCAGCCCAAACATCACAGCGACTGATGCCAACCGACACCGGCACATTTAGGGATCAGCAGAGTGTGTGCAGTTGCGTAACAGAACTCCAGCAATTCAGCATTTTGGCTAATCTACTTTATTTACATATAAACACACACGGAGCACTGCAACATGGCTCCCTCTCTCTTTAGCATCAGACAGCAAAGAGAAAAAGAACAAAGGACAATAGTCCCACTTCATGGAACACATTAACACAAACATCCTGTCTCCGTCACTTCCCACACTGTGGAGTCACAACATATACCATCATGTGATAGACAAAAATCCCATGACTGCAATCATGGAGCAGGAATTCTAACAGGAAGAACTTTATGACAGTAAGAGCTGTTTAATAGTGGAATGGACTCCCTTGGGAGGTAGTGGACTTTCTTCCACTGGAGGTTTTTAAGCAAAGGTTGGCTGGCCATCCGTTATGGATGCTTTAGTTCAGATTTCTACAATGCAGGGGGTTGGACTAGATGCCCCTGGGTGCCCCTTCCACAATTCCACAATTCCACAATTCCACAATTCCACAATTCTATATACTCAGTCATTGCCTCTCTTTTTTTATTTTATTTTATTAAATTTTTCAAGAAACAGAAATTAATCAAAGAACAATACATAACACTGTAAACACACTTATGTACATATTTTCCAAAATGAAAACTAATAAAAAAAGAAAGAAAGGAAAGGAAAAATTGAAGATATAAAGAAAAAAAGAAAAAAGAAAAAAAATTCATAACCTGGAATATTACCAAATTCTTGCTTCAAATACTGCAATATCTAAACCTTAGTTAAAATATTATAAATGCCTCTTACGGCATTGCTCAGGTCTCTGAATGAGTGTCTGTTCTGAGGGTGCTGTTAACCTGAGCATCTCGAGAGTGCTGGACCTCATCACTTTTTGAACGGTGGCCCTGAGTTGTCCTTGCCATCTGAAGTAACAGAGTCACGAAACAAACCCTCTGCTTTGGCAATCCTGTGGCTGGGTATTTAGTCCTGGGAGGAAGAAGTCGCTGGTGCCTAGCTCAGCAACAGATAATCTTCATTGCATGCAGAGGATCCCGGGATCAACCCCCGGTTCCTCCAGGTAGGGTCGGGAGAAATACCTTCCCTGAAATCCTGCAGTGATCTTGCTCCTTTGACACAATGCTGAACTGGATGGGCCAATGTTTCTGACTCCTTATGTGGCAGCTTCCCGAGGTTCTCCCCATCCCAAACGGAGCCTTCCTGAAGCCAAGGCCTGTGCTGTTAACTACATGGGAGTGTTTAAGGGCAAACAGCAGAGTAAATGCTTTAATGGCTGGCACTGAGTGTGCTATTATGATCCATTTTCATGGCTTGGCATGCCGCTGGCAAGCGGGAGGTGTTTTTCCTTTGTACAACCAAGGAATTAGGAGGCATTGAAAGGTTGCAAGAGCATACGAGGTTCGGCTTTTATTTCTTTTCAGCCAGTCGATGCTAAAACACATGCCACCTCGCTGGGATGGCACTGCCTGAGGTACTGAATGAATAGTTTCAAGGGGGGTGGATTAAGTGCATGAGGCAATTACGGAATGAGTCACTTTTGCAGCAACTTCTCTCTCAAAGAGCTCTTGAGAAGCAGATCAGTAGGAGGTTTGCGCTCTGCCCACCCCACTCCCCAAACCTCCATGGGGTGAAAGGAGGCGCAATTTGTCTTGATTGAAAGGACTGTTGCACTACCAGCGTTGAGCAAAGGGGCTGATGCCATGGGAAGGAAAATTACATACAAGAGTCCATTGGTCCCTGCATTGCAGGGGGTCAACTTTTCTTACTCTGCTTTTCCGCCCAACCCCTGCAAAGCAAAAACCCAAATCCATCAAACCTGCTTTGGGGAAGGTTCTCAGGCAGGGTGGAAGGAGAAAGAACTTGCCCATGTGAAGACCACCTGGTGGAAACCCTTACACATGTGCTTCTTAATTGTAAACTATATGCTGATCTCTGTCAGCAATTTCTAGATCAACTCTGCATCCCCAAATGAAAACCAGAGCTGGAGGTCATACATTTTCTATTACTAGGGAATGATCAGGAGCTCACCAAGTTACAGTCATGCCTTGGGTTGAATGCGCTTCGGGTTGAGCGCGTTTGAGTTGCGCTCCGTGGCAACCCGGAAGTAACGGAGCGCATTACTTCCGGGTTTCGCCGCTTGCGCATGCGCAGACCAAGGCAGAATAGAACAGTACTATTACTTCCCTTGCTCTGGACTGTTGATGGACCCTAGAATAGTATTAGCCTTTTTCGTTGCTGCATCGCACTGACTCACAGCTTGTCACGGCTAAATATTGGCCGCTGTTTCTTTAATGCTAAAAGAACTAAGTCAGCATGAGTCAGCGGCCTACAATGACTCATGCAACCTTTCACCAAATTGTACCTGTATATATAGAGTGGTCAATGTTAGTGTGGTGTGGGTTGGTTGTATGGTAGAAAGCTGGTTGCATTTGGTGTGTGTTCAAAGCTGTCAGTCGTGGTTGGAGAAGGAGACTTTTTAGGAATAAAAGCAGCATTCTGCAAAGTATTCTTTCTTACGGACTCTTTGTGCCAACTAAGGTCTGAGGACTAGGCAAAGGAGTGAAAAGGAGGTCAGAACTTTTTCTTTTACAAAAACTGACACAGCTTATGGTCACCTTCATTTGAATTTTTTAATGTTCGCGTATCTCAAAAAATGCAAGTTCCCTGCTCTCCTGGCACACATTCTGGAAACTGGGCAAACTGTATTTCAATGCTCCTCCTGGCCTGTGGATTGCACCCCCATTTCACATACTTCAAATGGTCAACGGTTCATTGTTTCCATCAACAAACAGGCAACATTTCCCATATATATATATATATATATAATTAAATAGGATGAGGTGCTACAGGTTTACCCAAGGAGACGCATGATGTCTCAGACCAGATCAGACTCTGAAATCCAAACTGTTGGAAGTCTATATGTGAAACTAAAATGTAGGCAGCTGAGATTCATCCCACTGTTGAAGGAAGCTGGCACTTAGAGAGAGTTGCATAAATACATCAGAAAGAGTTCTGTGTCATCAAACACACAGAGATGATTGAAAATGCATCCTTCTCGCTATATCAACATCATTTAAATGATCCCATGTTTTAATCACTTCTCCACTTACATTTGCCTTTTCTTTTTTTAAAAGCTTTGCAATGCCTCCTCAAGGCCTTGAAAGATGCTCTTGAAAGAAATATCATTCTGTCAGACCAGAAGTGATTCATATGTGGTGGGAAAGCAGCTGGAAATGATTGTTTTCGGTGATGATATATCGATTGAGCCCAATGAGCATGAAGCAATGGTCCACAAGCAAAAAACAGAGTTGTAAGTGAGCAAAAACAGACCACAGTGTCATTTTCTACCAATGTTTACAGCCATAGTCCAGGTTGGCAAAAGGTAGGGCAGACAGCCCATCAGATGCCACCCATCACCCCTCCTCCAACACCCACTGGCTGGGGATCCACACAGGAGTTGTCTGAAGCCTAATGGTCCTTGTAAAATTTATAAAGTAAGGTTTCTAGCTACCCTTAAATATAATTGTTCAATTGGCACTGAAATGGAGAATGCCTGAATGTGTATTGCTAACCTGGGGGATTTTCCATGGCACCATACCGAGAGCTCTCTAAGCAATAACTGGTTGATAATTAACTGTGGTGTTCTCTGCCCTTAAACTGAGTGTTTAACTTTAGATCATGGGAATAAGGCATTCGCTTGCAAATTCACCATCTTTGGGATAAGGATGTGCAAATAACTCACTCAGAGGAGCTCATAGCCTTGGGCTAGAATGCAGGCCAATGGAGTCTGTGTGTGTGTGTGAGAGAGAGAGAGACAGAGAGCTCTGTTTGTCAGTTCTAGATAAAAGTTATTTTTGAAGAAGATGAACCTATGCCATGGACAAGCATATGTCATATGGAATTACATGAATGTAGAGAGCAAGATGGCTCAGTTGGGAGAGCATGAGACTCTTAATCTCAGGGTTGTGTGTTCTGAACTTCAGGAGGTTGGACTAGGTGACACTCATGGTCCCAACTCTACAATTCTGATTCCATCACTGATTTTATTGTACCTGTGTTTGAAGAATTTCTGGTTCCTAAAGCTTTGAACAATATTTATGGGTCTGGGCAATGCTTCAAAAGGAGTTGATTTCTATGCATCCCGTTGCTTCAAGCTGCACAATATTGATATTTGCAATATAAGTGACTGCCCTTAGAACTGCTGGTCATGGAACTGACCAGCGAGGAAGCAATCCTGAATTTAAACAGCACCCAGGATCTGGTGCAAGATGTAAGTGTTGTTGAACTGAGAGGAAGCAGAGATGACGGTGATCGGATGGAGCATGCCAGTTGCCGGGAATCACAAGCATGGAGAGATTTGTTGTACTCAGGATCTACTTGTGGGATCCCACTGAGGACTCTGGCCTGATCTTACCTGGACACTGAGGTCCAGTGCCAAGGACCTTCTGGTGGTTCCCTCGCTGCGAGAAGCCAAGTTACAGGGAACCAGGCAGAGGGCCTTATCGGTGGTGACGCCCGCCCTGTGGAAAGCCCTCCCACCAGATGTCAAAGAGAAAATCAACTACCAGACTTTTAGAAGACATCTGAAGGCAGCCCTGTTTAGGGAAGCTTTTAATGTTTAATAGACTATTGTATTTTAATATTCTGTTGGAAGCCGCCCAGAGTGGCTGGGGAAACCCAGCCAGATGGGTGGGGTATAAATATTATTATTATTATTATTATTATTATTATTATTATTGCAAGCTCTTCTTATGCTATGTTATTGTACTGAAGGATTCCTTCCTTCCTTCCTTCCTTCCTTCCTTCCTTCCTTCCTTCCTTCCTTCCTTTCTTTCTTTCCCCAATGAGTAAAAGCACTTTCTTGGAATCTGTTCAGTGCTTCTATTCTGCCACCTTCCATTATACACAATGAGGCATCCGATAGAGAAACTTCCTTGGCTTAATTTCAGAATGAGGTGGGCTTATATTTTCCGCAGAGATGACTATCCATCCATTTGTGCATTTGCTAATGACTACTGTGTTGGCAGCAGAGGCATCTCGGAATGTAGGCAGTGATTGGTAGGTAGGTCTCATTTTATTTGACTGCAACACTTCCTGAACACCAATCTTGGCACTTGCCACTCAGTATACTATGCCCATTTCCAGTGTGCAAAGAAAGTGTCTCCATCATAGGACAACATTCAGGCCCTTATGGAATATGTGTACTTATGCATTGTGCTTTTCCACTGGCAATATATGCAAAGGAACTATTTCTAGGTGCTCCAAGGTAGGAAGGGAGGATAACAGAGGGTAATTTCTTTTGGCCTGCATTCTAAATCAAGCTGATCTAATCCGCAGTTCCCAGAGTTACATGCATATTGGAATAAGAACATCGGAAGAGCTCCGCTGGGTCAAGCCAGTGGTCCAGCATTCTGTTCTCACAGTGGCCAATCAAGATGTTTGTGGGAAGCCTGAAAGCACAAGAGCCTTCTCCCCTCCTGAGGTTTCCAGAAATTGGTGTTCAGAAGCATCATAGCAGACTATGGCTTGTAGGCACTGGTAGGCTGCTCTTCCATGTGCGGGTGGCGCTGTGGTCTAAACCGCTGAGCCTCTTGGGCCTGCCAATCAGAAGGTTGGCGGTTCTAATCCCCATGACAGAGTGAGCTCCCGTTGCTCTGCCCCAGCTCCTGCCAACCTAGCAGTTCGAAAGCATGCCAGTTCAAGTAGATAAATAGGTTCCACTGTGGCCGGAAGGTAAACGGCGTTTCTGTGCACTCTGGTTTCCGTCACAGTGTTCTGTTGCACCAGTAGCGGTTTAGTCATGCTGGCCACATGACATGGAAAGCTGCCTTGTGGATAAACACTGGCTCCCTCGGCCTGAAAGTGGTGGGAATTTAGAGAAATTTTGTTTAAAAAGGGAAATGATATATAATGAATTGAATAAAATGTTTAAAATGACATTTGTAAAAAAAAACCAGAAGCATTTTTGTTAGGGATTGTTGGACAAGACCTGCCAAAGAAAATAAAGAATTTGTTTATGTATGCTACAACAGCGGCAAGAGTCTTGATTGCACAAGGATGGAAGAATGAGGAAACCCTGACAAAAGAACAGTGGCAAGAGAAACTGATGAACTATGCAGAACTGGCTAAACTGACATACAAACTGCGAGATAAGGACAACTGTGACTTCAAAGAAGAATGGGAACTTTTTACAAATTATCTAAAAAGACAACAAAGTGAACTGGACTCCTTGGCAGGTTTTGAATAAACATACACAAATTTATTGATGGTTAATATAGTAGATAGATAATATAAGGATCTATAGGGATGCAGGTGGCGCTGTGGTCTAAACCACTGAGCCTAGGACTTGCCAATCAGAAGGTCGGCAGTTCAAATCCCCGCAACGGGGTGAGCTCCCGTTGCTCGGTCCCTGCTCCTACCAACCTAGCAGTTCGAAAGCATGTCAAAGTGCAAGTAGATAAATAGGTACCGCTCCAGCGGGAAGGTAAACGGCGTTTCCGTGCACTGCTCTGGTTCACCAGAAGCGGCTTAGTCATGCTGGCCACATGACCCGGAAGCTGTACGCTGGCTCCCTCGGCCAATAAAGCGAGATGAGCGCCGCAACCCCAGAGTCAGTCACAACTGGACCTAATGGTCAGGGGTCCCTTTACCTTTAATATAAGGATCTATACAATTTTTTAGTATGCAGAGAACAATATGTGTTGAGAAATCAGAGAGAGGAGCTGAGGGAAGTCTTGGTTTTGTTATGTTGAAATTGTTTTTAAAAAAATTTAAAAAGAAAAAAAGAAAGTGAGATGAGTGCCGCATCCCATAGTCATCTTTGACTGGACTTAACCATCCAGGGGTCCTTTTTTAACCTCTTGTGGAAGCAGAAGCACTGGCTTATGGGGTCTGAACTGCCTCCATGTGTAGGGCACAGGGCATGGGGCGTTCCAGCACCCAGTGCAGCGCGCAGCCTCCCCCCGACCACAGTGCTCCAGTAGGGGGCGCCATGTTCTGTCTGCCGCGTGGCTTCCTTAAATGTCCACGGCTTCTAGCATTATGAGAGAGGGAGAAAAGCTGTTCTCTATCCTCTCTCACCCCCTGCCATCTCCCTGCAGTGTTCAGTCTTCCTAACCATTTCCCCCAAACTATCTCCCTTCTAATTCACAGCACCAGCATGTGTGTTATATCACAGTTAATTGGCTTGGGCAGCAAGCTAATTGGAAGCCACAGAGCTGAAAGGTTAGCAGTGACAGTCCGTAGAGCAATGTAAGTTTATTTGTCACGGGGCTCCAGCAAAGCAGCGTTTTCAGACTGCAGTCTGACAGGAGCAGGGCTGGGGGACAAAACCGAATGAGTTCACTTCTAAAGGCGACTCTGCCTAATTTTCACTTTCCAGAAAAGCACACAAACCCTCTGTCCCTTGAAATTCACACTTCTATGAATTTTGGAGTGTTTTCCAGTCAAGCAATGTGTACAAAAAACACATGTTAAGTGTGCATAAAAATGCCTAAGTTGGTGAAAATAATAAACTTTGATTGTTTTAATATTTATTAAATGTGCATACTGCCCTTCACCTGAAGACCACAGGGCGGTTCGAAACATAAAAATACAAAATGAGAACACAAAATAGACAATATAAGCAAGGACAAACCAATAATCCCGTTCCCACAAACCAATTTGAAAGGAAAGATGATTGGCAAAAATGTGGCTATTGGGAGAAATTGCTTACAAAAATTTCCCTGAGGAGAAATTTGCACTAAAATGCTGATGACTTATTGTGAGGTCATTTAAAAACAACAGCAACAAATAAACCCCACTAACTGAGGTGGAAATGTGGAGAAGGGAACTTAAGGCCAGAAGAATGAGAAACAATGAGAATCCAAAATTGACAGATTTGCCTATCCCGGCTTGACAGACACTTCAATCATTTGCTTCTCACTATACATTGTTGGTGTGGTGGGAAATCCCCGCCCCCATGGATTACCTTAAGTGCCCATAGCAACTGACCCACAGCATCAGGTCCAGATTTTCTGGAGGTGATGGGCTCAATACCTGTTCCCCAGGAACGAAAAGACTCAGAGAAGGGAGAGATGGGAGCCTTCAGGTAGGATACACAAGCATTTCATCCCAGAGACAGTCAGTGGATAATATTCAATTAGGGCAAATGGGGCACTGTCTCAGCAGCCCATTGTGTCCTAGTCAGCCCTTGCTTGCTCCCCTTTTTATTTACATCCAGTCTAGGTGGTGCTGTGGGTTAAACCACAGAGCCTAGGACTTGCCATTCAGAAGGTCGGCAGTTCGAATCCCCACAACGGGGTGAGCTCCCGTTGCTCAGTCCCTGCTCCTGCCAACCTAGCAGTTAGAAAGCACAAAGTGCAAGTAGATAAATAGGTACCACTCTGGTGGGAAGGTAAACGGCATTTCTGTGTGCTGCTCTGGTTCACCAGAAGCAGCTTAGTCATGCTCGCCACATGACCCAGAAGTTGTACGCCAGCTCCCTCGGCCAGAAAAGCAAGATGAGTGCCGCAACCCCCCAGTCGTCCGCGACTGGACTTAATGGTCAGGGGTCCCTTTACTTTTACCTTTACCTTTAGGGGGTGGAACTGACTGCCACCTCCCTCCACCTTCTTACCCTTGTAGAGCTCTGCAGGGTGGAAGATGGGAACGAAACAAGAATTTCTTGGCTCTGCCTATCATTGACTCTGGCTCCCCCTACTGTTGACCTCCCTGCTTTTCACCCTGCCAGTCCCAACAGGGCACCGGGCACCACTGGAGTGAGCAACCCTCCCATCGCTTCCTTTAGCCTTCTCTCTCTTGACTGATCATCTATATGCAATTGAACAGCCGCCGCCAGGGGTCTCAGTGATGGAAGAATGGAATGCGTTCTGCCTAAATGGGAAAATGGACACCGTTTATTATAGGAACGGAAGGAAGGAAGAGAAGAGGAAGGTAATTTTAAGGAGGAAAGTTGAATGCATTCATTGACGGTTGTGGAAGGGGCTGTTT